CCTCCACCCAGCCTTAGACTGACATCCTACGACGGGGGGACCGCCGGGTGGGCGAAACCTTACTGCAGGGGTCAGTCCCACGGAACGCCAGAAGGTGCTAGACACCGTGGGAACACAGCAGGGTCCTGAGACACAGGGTGGGGGCGGGCGGGCTGCCGTGTCCCTGCAGCGGCCGGGGGACCTTCTCTGAGCGAAGACCAGGAAGAAGCCAGAGGGTGAAGCCACGGCTCCCTGGGGACATGACAGGCCGTGGCTGGGCAGGGGTGAGGGGGGCGTGGTGGGGGGAGGGCACGGCAGGCTGGTGGGGGGGGGGCTGGTCCATCCTTGAGGGCAGCAGTGACTTCTCCAGAGGTGGGGTCAGGTGGGGGTGCAGGCAGGGGGAGGCGGGGGTGGGATGCAGAGAAATAGGTGGCGGAACCCTTTCAACGGCCTGAAGGGTGAGACAGAACATCCCACACGAGCAGAAGGAGGGTGGCCCTGACCCTCACGGGCCAGACCCGCTCAGTCCCCGAGCCTGCGTGTCCCGGAAGGGGGCTCGGCGGGAGAAGCGGGTCACTGAACTCTAGAGCATGGCGCTTGCGCTGTGCGCCTCCTTTGGGAGATGGCTCTCTTGGGGGGACAAATGGGCCGTGGCAGACAGACCGGAGACCCCCAAGCCGCTCTGAAGCTTGGGCCTGGAACTCCTCAGAACCGTACCTTAGGCTCAGTCTGTAAAGGCCGACCTCAGCAAGGTGAGCAGGAAAACCCGAGCGTCCAACTCTGAGGGCAGAGGCTCCGGCCCCTGCAGACCGTTCTTTGTCTGAGGACAGCTGTCCAGGACTTCAGCTCGCTGTCTTTTTAGCAACGGAAAGCGTTTTCCTGCTCCGTGTTTGGAAGTGCTGTTGGAGAACCAACGGGCGGCAACACCCTGAGGAAGCGGTGCTCAAGGCTCCCCGGCCGGGCTTGGCTCAGGGCTCGTGCTGTCCCGTGCGGGAACGCCTGCGCTGCCCGGGAAGCCCTCCTTCCACGACAGAGGCCTCTCTCTGGCCGGCACCAGGCCCCCAGAGCCCCCCACAGCCACACAGCCGGGCCCCGGCCACGCCGGCCAGCTCGACAACCATCTGGCCTCACAGTGCGCTCCCCGCCCCGAGTCCAGACCGCCAGCACCCAGCAGGTGTGCCGCTCCCTGCTTCCTTCCAGGGGACGGCCACGGAGGATGTCACGGGGGCCCACCTGCAGCTCCCTGCCCATGCCCACCACACGGCTCCTGCCCGAGCCCACCAGGCCCTGGCTGTCGTGCCGGCCCCTCCCCCGCCCAGCTCCCCAATGCTGTGCACCGGCCGGCAGGCTCCTGCCTCTCTGTTCCTCGAGTGCAGTCGGTCCCTTCTCTCGAGGGACCTCAGCAGAGCGGCTGCCTGACAACAGACTTCAGTCTGGTCCTTCCAAGGACACGGGCACCCTGACTGTGCCCTGGGGGGCTCGCTGCCCTTTGCCGCCCCAGGGGCCCCCGGGGGCCCTGGACCGCAGCCCGGTCACTCGAGGCTACAGGCTCCCGGCACGTCCCAGCGGCACCCTCAGCCAGGTCCCTGCTGGCCCCGGGCGCGCCCACAGCCGCTCACGGTGGGGCCCGGGGGGGCACTCCCAGGCCTGTCCCCAGCTACGGCTGTTTCGGGGGCTACTTGACAAGCCGGCGGCGGTCGCTGGGCGGCCGTGGTGGTGCAGCCACGCGGGGGCCACGGCCAGAACTCCGCCAGCGGTGGGGGTTGGCAGCTGCTCCCACAGCCCTTCCAGTGAAAACGCAGAGACTTGTGGAACAGAGCGGCTGCTTTCCAACAACGGTTTTGAAAAACAAATGTAAGGCGTAAGATGACCAAAAACTAAAAATCATGACTCTTTCTGAGAAAAGGTCAAGGGCTCAGACGCAGTAACCACAGAGGCCCAGGCAGCACCGCCTCCCGCTGACTGCAGCCCGGGGGGGGGGGGGGGGGGGGGGGAGGCTCCGGCCGGGGGCTCCGCGCCGCTCAGCACAGCGGGCGGCAGGGCCTGGCGGCGGGGCCAGGCGAGCTCAGTGGGCTCCGGACGCCCCTGCGGGGCAGGGCTGGGGGACGACGCGTCCGGCCCGGGCAGCGGCTCCATCACCCTGGGGAAGCAGGAGACCCCCCTCGGCAACGTGGGTTTAGACACCCCTGCGTTTCCAGCATCGCTGAGCCTTCTCTCACGGCTGCTGGTCGCCCCCCCCCCCCCCCCCAGGGATGTGAGGGGCAGCCCCCTGGGGTTCCCTCCAGCCATGCGGAGGACCCGGTCCAGTCCCGTGTGCTGGGACCGACCTCGGGCAGCTCCCTCCCCTCCGCTCCCCCTGCACCCTCGCCTGTCGTCTGTCTGTCTGTGTCCTCAGCGCTGCGGGTCCTCCTGGGAGAGGAGGCGGCGTTGAACTAAGCACCCACGGAAGCTGGGCCCTGTGAAGTGTTTCCGGACGCCAGGGCCACGGTGAGAGCATGGCGGTCAGTAACGGAACCTGACAGGCGGCTCACAGGCCCCGCTCACCCGCCATCCTGGCGGCGGAACCAGGCAGCCTGCGACCACGTGGCCCCTTGTCCTTGCTCTACAAAGGGTCCCAGGGAGGGCCCGCCTGTCACCTGCACCCTGTATCCTGCTGTCACGAGGAGGACGCTGTGCAAGGCGGGTACAGCTCCCCCCACTTCTAGGACCCGGCAAGGGCCTGCCCTTCCAAACACCCCCACACCTGACGCCCACACACTCTGAGACCCCGCGTCCCCACAAGCACCTGCAGGCCCCCACGGTGGTCGGCGCTGGGCCGAGGAGAGCCCGACTGGGAGCGCGGCACGCGTGAGGCGTGTGCCGGTGAGGGTGCGCGTGAGGGAGCGGAGACTGGCTGTCGGGCCGAGTCTACTTGCTGTCTCCCCGCCTCCGTGTGTCTCTCCCGGTCTCTTCCCGTCTCTCTTGTGTCTCTGTCTCCGTCTCTCCCTTGCAGCTGTCGTGACCACCTGGAGCGCTCGCACCGGCTCCTTCCTCAGCGTGAGGGTGCGGCGCGGGGCCAGGCCCCTCCCTCCACCTTCCTAGACGCTGGTCTCACTGGATCCCCCACCATCACCACCGACCTTGTACTTGGGCTGAGCAGCAGTCCGTACTTTGAAACGCCACGCGATTAAACAGAAACTTGCCCAAATAAACCCCGCCCTTGGGGAGGCACGTGCCCAGGCCCCTCACTGCTGCAGGTCAGACGCAGCCTCAGGGCCCACCTGCTGGGCTGTCCGCGCCTCCGTCTAGAATACTTGTGTGACGCATTTACGTGACTTTTCGTGATCAACTGCCACCGACAGTACAAACCACCTAAGGCTGCAGCCGTCCGTACAGCGGCTCTCGGGAGCAAGGCCGACCTCAGAGACGGTCACCCCGGGACCTGGGCCTGCCGGCTGCTGCGTGACCCCGATGGGTGTCTAGCAGGGCAGGCGCGGGGGGGCGGGCCAGAACCCGCTCTTGGAGACGTGCCTCCTGGAGGAGCCCTAACTGGCTGGAGCCCCGGGCTGAGGCGCCCTGTCTACAGGGCATCAAAGGGCCTCCACAGGGGCCTTTCTGGGCCAGGGGGAGGCAGCCCTGCGCGGGGACCCGGCTGGAGCTCCTCACAGCACCACCCTCTCCCTGGGCTTCGGGGCCTCCCAACGGAGGGCACAGGGGAACGGGAGGGGCGCCCTCCCCACCTGGGCCTGCTTGACGGGATCCTGGGACACAGCCCGACAGCCACAGGGGCCGTCTCCGCCTGGGCCTCCTGGCACCAATCCTCTGGGCCACCTGCCTTCCAGATCTCAGGACAGCCCACGAGTGGCCCGGGGATCCCGGCACCACGCCCGCCACACGGGGTCCGGGCTGCATGGCTCGCGTGGCCCATCCTGAGCCGTGTGTCCTCCAGCCACAGTTTGGGCCTCGTCACCCGGGCTCCGGGAGGAGGCAGCCCAGCACAGGGACAGCAGCGTCCCCTCCGGACGCCCGGGGAGTCTGCCCCACCGGTGTGTCCGCACACGCCACGGGCCTGCTGGATCGCCTCCAGACATCCCCCATGTGGGCCCTGGGTCTCCCCGCTGCAGGTCAGGCCCGTGATCTGGGGCGCCCTGCCCGCGCTCCCCCAGACACCAGCCGGCTGGCCTCTCGGACTGCAGAGATGCCCCAGTGAGCGGCCAGAGCAGGCTGTGCCGCCAGGGAGCGGAAGCCACCCCGCGCACCTCCGAGGGCATCAGGACACAGGTCTGTGACCCCTGGCAAAGGCGTGAAAATTTCAGGAAGCGCACATTTCCGAAAATCACAGTGGAAACTATAGACCGGTTTCGGGTCACACTCAGGTGCTCAGTGAGTCATGGAGGGCGGCCCCTCCCCACCAGCCTCTGTCCACCCCCCCGCGCTGGGCAGCTCTCTCCGCCTGGGGCCCCAGCTGGGAGGGACAGCCCGGCCCCTCTCTGCTCCAGAACGCACGGCTCTGGGGCTGCTCTCCCCTGAGTCCTGAACAGCTGCCTGTCCAGTCCAGACCCTATGAGCTCAGCTGTGGGAGCCAGCATCTCCCTGACTTTGTCCCGTGGCCTCAGTGTAGACACAGTGCAGCACTCCAAGCCTGATGTCACCGGGGCCCCACACACCAGTCTGCAAACCTGCATGGTGACGCTGCCCCCAGAACTTACCTTCAAACCCTCCCCTGCTCCCTCCCCCCCCACCCCGGAGAAGGGACTGTTCACAGAGGAGGCAGTGAGATGAGAAAACCCACACACAAAGGTGAGCATCTTTATGATACGGGGTCCCCAGCCACCTTTCTAGAAGAAAGCATTCTGGGTAGCCCTTCAGCTCCCATCCCTCCAGCCGTGACCAGGGAGCTCTGTCAGATGTGCAGACTGAGGGGTCCTGCTGAGGGGTGGTGCAGGAATGTGACCCCAACCTGAGTGTACACGCGACAGCCCACAGGTCCGAGCCCTGAGCCTGGGCGCAGTCACCGCAGGCCCCCCCACCGGCCCTCCTACCTCGTTGCCCAGCAAAGCAGAAACACATGCTTCCGACGCGTCGCAGATGGCCGTGAGGTCGTGGCCCCCCTCCAGGGCCAGAACAATCCGGCCGCCAGCCAAGCCCATCAGCTGCTTCGTCAGGTACCCGAAACCTGCAACAGGAAACGGGAGATGCGAGCGGAGGGCGAGGGTGGGCGTGGAGCCGACGCCTGGCCGCGGATCAAAGCACCCAGAAACGCATTACATCACATTACAGAGACCCAGGGGGCTGGCGCTCCGAAACACATAATGGAAGCCAGGTCTGATTGTAATAAATTCATTGAAGAATTTCGGTTTGGGATTCTTTTTGATCTGTTTGAGGGTAGGAATTACGGTTTTGGTGCTTTGATTTTATAATGCCACAAATCATCTCGTCTGGGGGCAGGAAGGAACCCCAGCGGGAGCCCCTGGCTCTCAGGCCGGGGCTGCAGAAGAGATGGCAAGAGTGTGTCCCTGTGGCTGTGCCCTGGCAGCCTGGGGACCAGAGACAGGCCTGGGGGTTCTGACTGGCCGGTGTGCTGGGCACACGTGTGTGCACGCAGTCACGGAAACACTCACTATGGTGTGTGCCCCTCCTGGACTCACGCCACGTCTGGTGTGTCTGGATCTCGTCAATAGCCACAGCACGCCCTGCACCCACCTCCCTCCCACCAGTGAAGACGCCTGACGGGTAGAGGGGATCACCATCCTCGCCAGAACATTCTGAGGTTTATTAAAGCCAGCGAAAACCACGCCACCCTCAGTGGCCCCGTCACAGGCCACGGTCAGCAGACCGGGCCATAACCTACTCGGGGCCTCTGCCGCGGCTCTGACGGAAACACAAACGGGGCCCTGAGGCTGCCGTGAGGGCCACAGGCGCCTCCGCTTACGACACTTTCTATGAAGGGAAGGTCTGTGCAAGCCTGAATCAGCAAGTGTGTGGGTCCGTGGGCACCGTTTCTCCAACAGCAGTTGCTCACTCTATGTCTCTGTGTCACGTTTTGGTAATTTTTGCAATGATGTTTCAAACTTGCTCCTTATTACCTCGTGTGTCATGGTGACGGTGCTCTGTGATCACAACTCCCATAAAACTCAGATGAGGCTCAGCACGCGCAGCAGTAACGTTTAATTAAGGAATACATGTTGTTTTAGGTGTGATGCTATTGCACGCTGAACAGACTACACTGTAGCGTAAACTAACTTATCTGCACTGGGAAACCCAAACACTCGCCGGCCTGGCTCTCCTGTGGAGGCTGGGCCTCAGCCTGCACTGTCTCCAAGGGGAGCCTGTCAAGTGCAGAGGCTCAGAGCATGGGCAGCGGCAGTCCGGCTGCGCACGAGGGGCCCTCTCTCTGCCCAGTGGGTGTGCGGGCCCCGGCCGGGCTCAGGGAAGGCTGAGGACCGTGCTGGGGCACGACCCCCATGAAGCCCACCCCTTGCGTCTGCTGTTTGCCCTGCGTTCTTGGCGGGGGGGGTGGGGGGGGGCAGGCGCTGTCATGCTTTTCGTTAGACGGAAGACAGAAAGTTTCCTCCTATTGTTACCAAAGGGGAGGCTTGAAACGCAGACCGCCGCTGACTGTAAAAATGGCAGAGTCCAGACCACGTTCCTGGGCGATCCGTGGACCCAACTTACATCTGGCGGAGAGGTTGTAGCCGCCAAGTGGCGTGGGGTGGCCCTCCACGGCGTCGAAGCCTGAAGACACGAGCACCACGTCTGGGGCGAACTCACTGGCGATGGGCATGACCACGGTTCTGCGAAGGGGGGAGAAGGCAACACCGGGTCAGCTCAGGGCACGGCCGGGCAGCAGGAGCCTGGCTCGGCTCCCGCCCTGGTTGGCAGATGAGAGACCGCGGGGGGCCCGGCTCAGGGGGCTCGAGCCCCGAAGGTGATGCCGGCTCGTTTCACAGATACCCTCAGCGCTGGGACCAGTGGGCCCCGCCGTGAACGCCTGGGGAAGCGCCCACACAGGGACCCGGAGGAGGCTGTGGGTTACGCTGGGGTGACCTGTAACCCCCAGCACCAGCTGCCCGGACTGCTGAGGGGTCCTCCCCATGCCTCTCCCTCGGTCCCCCGCCCGTCCCGTCCCACTCCTCAGCCCCCCATCCCCCACCATGCTCCCTTTACATGGCCTGGATTCAAGACAGGCAGTCACCAGCTGTCCCCAGCACCAGGGACCCGCAGCTGTGGGGCTGAGAGGACGGGAGCCCCCGAGCCGCCCTGTCCCGCCCCCTCCAGGCCACTGCACCAGCCACACGGGCGGGGCGGGGGTGGTCACTGGGTTAATCTGACACCTGGGATCTTTACAGGGACACCAGATGAGCACATTTAAGAGTGGACAAGTAAAGGCGTAAATGCCCACTAAGAAATTCAGTGGTTTGGTTACACGAGGGAAACGAGGAAAACGGCCACGTGAACAGTGGGAAGAACCAGCACTTACGAGCACACTAATTGTACACACTCGGCCGCAAGGGAGGACGTGTCACAGTGTGACGCTACCGGACTCCATCCATCACCTAAGCCTGCCCACTCGCTCTATTCGAGTTTGAATCTGTCACCACAGCCTTCAGAGTCTCCCTCCTGCCTCCGGGCGAGGCGGGCTGTGCCGCGGACGCAGGAGCCCGTGTGCCCGGGGCAGGCTGGGTGCGCCTCCGCGGGACTCGTCGCCTGGTTTTCCCCAGGGTCCCGCAGGCCCCGCAGCTCATCTCAAACGGGTCTCCAGAGGCCCACAGGGCCCCTCCCACCCTGGCTCGGTGGGAACACCGTGGCGGGCGGCGGGGTGGCACAGCTGGTGTGAGAGCCTCCACGGTCCCTTGTGCCTCGTGTTAGAGTAAAATTTGCCATGAGATGCGCCATTTAAGTCAGCAGTCAACTCGGGCCAACGGAAGCAAAAACAGACTGTTTCTCCGTTCAGGACGGTCCCAGAATGTGATCCTGTGGGGGGTCCCCTGACCTCAGGCAGCGGACGTGATGACCCCGGAGCACCGCACGCGAGGGCACGACCTCGCAGGACCCAGCCAGTGAGCCCGTCGGAGGAGGGCGTCCCTCCCGTTGAGGTGGCACTGAGAGAGCCCGCCAGAGATGGGCGCCGGCTTCGCCCCCAGGCCCTGTCCAGCCCAGAAGCCCGTGTCTGGAACCTCGCGCCGGGCGGGCCCGGGGGACCAGGGCCAGCTTTGGAACCGCTCACTGCTTCTGCGTTTCCTTTCTCTGAGGCTGCGCCCCGTCCACACAGTGGTGTCCGGACTGCCTCGGCCACAGGCTGGCGAGGGCAGCGTCAGCAGGGCCTGCGCCGTGGGGACGTCCGTCAGGCGCTGCAGGACAGCATGGCTGAGTCTGGATCGGCAGACATTCCCACCGAGGGCCCGAGGGTAAACGGAACCTTCGGCCACGGGGCCTGCTGCCACTGCCTGACACGGACCTCGTCGTGCGAAAGCAGCCACACCCACCGTGAACGCGTGCACGGAGTGTTCTGCTAAAACTTAAAGACCTTGAGGTGGGATCTGGCCCACGCCCACTTCAGACTCCATCGCGATGACGCTGGGAATGTCCTTCACACAGGACGCTGGCCCTGGACGGGAGCACGTTTCTCTGCGTCAACAAGACGCCGCAACACAAGTTCCCAGGCTCTGTGAACACAGCGCAAAGCCTAGGCTTCTGCATGAACCGTCTGCTCCGGCACACACGCCAGAGTCGGGGTTAAGCGCCCTGCTCCCGGGGCCGGAGGCGAGGCGGTCCCGGTGCGGGCAGGCAGGGTGGGAGGGCTCCTCGGAGCCGGGACACGTCCCTTGCATCTCTGTCCTGACCCGGATGCACTCCACCTTCCACCCACACAGGACAGTCCCCTCTGGGGACCCAGGCCTCCCCTGGTGGCTCTGGACGGCCAGCAGGCTGATGTACACCTGCCGGCGGCTTTCACATAAGCCTTGTCTTCAGGCAGACGAACAGTTTCAGCCACGTGTTTGGTGCGGATTTTAAAGCCAAGACCCCTTTTTGATGAAAGCTTACAGGCGTTTTCTGTGGACACTGGCTCATTCACAAAGAGCTAAGGCAGTTGTTTTGAAGCCAGTATGTGTGGCGGCCTCGTTCTCTGCTCTGAAAACCCCCGAGCTACTCTGTTCCTAATCCCCCCACATCGTTAAAGAAACAGGCCTGTGAAAATCAGCACTGAAGGAAGTCAATACCATGAGAGCCCTCGGCAACCTTCGCCACAGAGCCAGTTAAAAACGAGATGCGAAACACGGTTGATCCCATGTGCGTGTGTGTGCCTGTGGTGGGGGCCGTAGGCCTGTCAGCCATGCACAAGCGTGGGCGGCTGGTGTACGAGCACACACCCCCGCTTTATTTGCCGGGCTTACAGCCCTGCAGGCCGTAATCTCGATCACTTGCTAAAGCTACGAAAATCCGATGTGGTGGTGAGTGCCAGGCGGTGTGGGGTGGGTCTCCAGGCCAGTTTTCGGTAGGCCCTGGGGAATGTCTCTCCGCTCGCGGGGACCCAGCCTCTTGGCCTCTAGGAAGGGGGCCAAGTGTACTCTCCTGACGATCCCATCAGCCTTCTAGAACCTTCTCATCATCATCATCCCATCCATGACCTCCATGTAGAACATCTATGTTTCGTGGGTTGCAAAGAAAGGGAACCTGGCCTCAGGTTCTATTTCTAAGATGAAATTTTGACAAACAACTTGGTCTCTGAAAGCAAGAAGATGTAAATATTTACTGCAGGCCTTCTCTCAAATCATCACTTTAAGGTGAGCGCTCCCGTGGGGCCGCCGTTGACCTTCCTCAGGGCGATGTGAAGGCGGAGGGGGTGAGCGGGGAGCTTCCCAGGGCCGCGCACCGTCCACTGTCCGCTTAGAAGAGGGAGGCAGCCGGTCTCCCAGAGAAGAAATGGGCCAGTGCCCGTGACGGGAGCACCCTTCCTGCAGGACGGCACCCAGTTCTCAGGAACCACACGGCCGGGTCCCACGGCCCCAGGGAGCCTCAGTGCGGCCTAGCCCTGGGGGCTGGTGCTCAGATGGTCGGAGCGGTGCTGGGTGACACTTGGGGCCTCGCTGCTCGCTCTTCCTGGGACGCCACCCACTCCCTCCCTGAGGCCTCGGCAGGGGTGCAGCCAGTGCCCGCCCTCCAGCCTGCGGCTCACTGGCCCCTCCGTGCCCATCACCTGGCACACACGTCTGTCCATGTCTGCCCCGTGGATCTCCGCAGAGGACACTGCGTGTCCAGGACAGGCACAAGCTGGCCCCGCGGATGGGGTAGCGTGAGCTCAATCTGCTAACATGAGGGACGCCGGCTCTCAGTGCCCGTTGCCTCGTGGAAGAGACAGCCGGGCGGATGTATGGGGCACTGACAGCTAGTAGAAATGTTCCTCACAGGCCACCCCGTGACGTCAGGTGACACAGGGCGCACAGACTCGCCATCTGCAAACCCCACAGGGGAGTCTACGTGCAGGAACCGATTTCGCTCTTGGCTCCTGCTTCTGGAAGGAAACGGCCTTTCTGGTTTGTCTCCCAACCAGGGCCCCACACAAAACCCACCAAACTCGCAGTCGTCACAAGCCTCAGGCCCACGGCGCTGTCTCAGGGGGGCCATGCTAACCTGTGCCTGAGAGCGCCTGGGGAGCTGGGGGTGGCCCCCACGTGCCCCAGAGGCCTGGTCCACGCCACCACCCATAAACCTCTCCTGTCAGTGGCACCCAAGGGCTCCTCAGACGGCACCTTCTGCTCTGTCCTCAGCGCATGTCCTGGGTGGGGTCTGTAGTTCAATGTCTACAGCCAGAGTTCACAGGGGCCGAGCTGCCGGACGGACGCACAACAGCTGTTGCTGCATCGGCCGGACCAGTTTCACGGGAGCTCGGTGCCCTGGGCACCTGATGACACGACTTTAACAGCCAGGGCATTTTGATAACTGAGGTTCCTTCTGTCAGATGCCACGCAGATCCTTGCTCTGAGGGCCGGCTTCACCGCACGCCTGCACCTGGGCCCGGCCTCTGACAGCTGCGTGGCCGAGGCCTCGGGGCTTCAGGTGCTCCGTGTTTCCAGAGAGCCACCAAGTCCATTGTTCTCACCAGGGACTCCCGGCACAAAGCTGGAGGGCCGGTCCATCTGGTATCCGGACTCCGCTGAGAGTCAGGGTCAGAGCGAGGGTAAAGACGGAAGCCACCCGCCCTGGCCTGGCTGCCTGACGCTACTGCCCACAGCCACGTCCTGCTCCGTCCACCCCTCAGCCACCACAGCCAGCGAGTGCGTGAGAGGCCTGGGCGGCGCTGGACACTGAGGCCAGACCCTCGCCTGCCGTCTCCCCCCCACTGACCGCCCCAGACCTGCCCACTTCCAGGCTCCTGCTAACCAGGCTCTGCTCTCAGGCGGTGGGGACGCCCCTCTGCTCCCGTCTGGCTGTCCACACCCCTCACCATCCGGGGCCTCGTCAACATGGGGCCCGCCCCTCGCTGCCCACAGCCCCACTGCCACCGTTGTCTCCGGTTGTGCCTAGGTTCCCCGAGGCTTCCCTGCCCCGACGTGCCCCCAGCTCTGCCTTGCCCTGTGCTGGGGCCTGTCCCCGGGCCTGGCACACTCGGCCACCAGCCCATGTGTCTTGGGCCCCTGCAACTCCCCAGTGCGGGCACCCAGGGACCAGCAGCACAGCTGCTCAGGACGCCTGCAGACCTGCCAGCCTGAGGAGCAGGTCTCGGCTGGGCTGGGCACGACGGCTCTGTCCCCTCAGCCACCGCAGCCCAGGCCTCTCCCAGCAGCTCCCTGAGCAGCCAACCTCGGTCTCTGCCCCAGGACCCTCATGCTCTCTCCTGGGTTCCCGCCTCGCTCTCGGCAGGACCCTGGCTTCACCTCGGCATTCAACTCAGAGCCACAGTGTGAGCCAACCCCTCGGCACCGGAGTCCCCAGTGTGGCCGTGGAACGTATGGACCCGCCATGCTGGTCACCAAGTCAGAGCCCCTGACGTGCTGGACTGACGGGGCTGTGGTCCCAGCTCCCAGAGGAGCCCCCACACAGGCGTGTCTGCTCCCGTGGGAACGCCCGACGCCACGTCCCAGGCTCGCTCCTCTAGGACTCGGCGGGGATGGCTCTGCAGGCAGGTGCCCGAGCACCGTGTCACTGCACCTGCCAGTGTGCCCTACTGCCAAGGGCGCCTGCTGTCCCTGTTCTGCACCGCCCTGAGGATGGGCACCAGGCACCCGGGCGGGTGGAACGTGAACTTCAAAGTCGCAGCGAACGTCTTCTGCAAGTTTCCACACGAGAAGGTGTGGTGCCCGTGTACAGACAGCACTGCCTTCAGCACTGAGGCCCCGGGTTTGGACCCACCGTCTTCACAACAGCGCGCGTGGACGATGAGTGCCTCGTCGGACAGACCCACGCCGTGGGCGCCTCCGAACTGCGCTCGCCCATGTGGCTAACACAGGAGGTGCTGTGCGCGTGCCTCCACAACAATAAATAAAAATTTAAAACAATTTTGTAAAAAATTTTGTTCGGAAAACATAGGAAAAACCCCCACAGAACACCTTATGAAAGTAACACGAGCTCAGCCTCCACCGTGGTGTCACTCGAAAGGATGGGAAAAGGACCCGAATCTGCCCAGTTGCTCAATTTAAAGGCAAATCGCGATTCATTAAAAGGTTAAAGTCACCACTTCAAAATATCCAGTTTCACTGCCGCCTCTGATAAACTTTACGAAAGCACACTTAAAACCGAAGCTCTGATTTAAAGGCGCACATAACCCCGGTTTCGTTTCCCGAGTGCTGACAGGCAGCCACCGGCCGGCAGGTAGGGGAGGGGTAAGAAAGCGCATCCTCTCGGCCGCGAGAGGCCTCGCCCCTGCTCAGTGCACTTCAAAGCTGGTCTGGCACGGCACTGGTTTGAATTAGGTTGCCTTTTCTCCTCCAGTCTGAGCCCGCGGAGAAAGTGCCGCCACTTCTGGATCTCGTTAGGGGCAATTTTCTTATCTCGTCTCCATCTTAGGCTTGATCTCCCGAAACGCAATGTGGCAGGCCGCGGGTCTGAGTAACAAGGTGCTGCCTCTAAGGCACGCACTGTCCCCGGGGGCCCCCAGAAAGCGGGGGATGCACAGAAGAAAGGGGAAAACGGGTCCTGACCCTTCTTCCCCCGCCGATCGATGCCCAGGGAACCATAAATTGTGAACTTCAAAGTGCTATTTTACATTTAAATCGATAAAAAAAAAACACTGAAACAATTTTCCTTTTCAAAGAAGCTATTTAAGCTTTAAAAAGTTCACTTGATAAGGTATCATCATGTAGGCACTTGGCAGGAGATTAAAACACAATGTCAACAGCAACTTGCAGAGAAAGGTTCATCTTAAAGGCTGAGCCAGGGTGGGGGGGCCGGGGCGGGCAGGGCAGGGGGGTGGTCCCCGGGGCTGGGGGGCCACCTCACAGAGCTGGGCATCCCGTCACAGGACCAGAGCACCCCGTGTGGCTGAGGCCCGGCCGAAGGGGGGTGAGGGGGATGTGAGCACACAGCTGCCTCACCGCTGCCGCCAGCCAGGCCCAGCCCAGCGCTGCTCTCTGGCCAGGCCACAACTGGCCACTGCGCGCCACGGGGTCCCTGGCAAACCACCGCTCCTCACAGCAGGTGTCCAGACATTTTACTTTCTAAGCAGCCTTTCAGGAGGCTGGTTCTCAGCCCTGAGATGACGAGGTGTGCAGCAGACACCTCAGACGGCGGTGAGGCCCCCTGGCTGGCGAGGCACGGGCTCAGATTTCATCACGGATACTTAACCGTGCCCACGAGGAAGCTTCCAGACACCGTACCTATTGGGGGAGTCCCTCTCCCCCTTAAATGAGGCAGGCGATTGTCAAAGTCACATTATATCTGATGAGGGGTAAGAAAAAAACATCAAAATTAAGCCAATGAGATTCAAGGAAAAAGTGACGCGGGAAAAGTCAGGGCAGAGAAATCAGAAAGGGAGGCAGTGGACGTGGATTTAGAAAAACCAACTTCGGTGCCTGAGAAGCTGACCCACTGTCCTGGCTGAACCCAATCTGAGCAGTTGCTTCTATGACCCACAGGGCAGCTGGGGAAGGAGCAGCCGTCCATACAGCAACGCGTTTTGCCGGACCGAACAACCATTCTGAGTTTAGGGGATGGAATCTTGTTTGGAAATGAGGAAGCTGATGCCGTGAAGGGTCCTGTGGCCACAAAGGGTCCCCAGAGCACGCGGCAGAGGCTGCGGCACAAGGCTTACAGATGCGCCCTCCTACGGGGCCATGCCCGCAGAGACATGCACGCACACGCTGTCACGCCTGCACACGTGCCTACACGCACACAGCCATATGCACAGGGACGCACGCACACACATGTCCAGACATGTGCGTCACGCATACACACGCCTGCACACACGTGCCTTCTATTTAGATAAGACAGAAGAGCAGGGGATTCGAGAAGGAGGAAGGAGAAAACTTCACGGGGCTCCAATTCCTGGCGCACAGACAGCGTTTTCTAACGGAGACTGAGACCGATCGCCCTGAACAGCACCCTCCTCCTCGCGGGGCCCTGGGACCACAGAGCCCCGCGTTCCGGGGAGAAGGTAGAGGCTGCCGCTTCAAACAAGCAGCAGACAGCCTGCGTTGCTGAGTGTGTCTGGTCGCGGGAACGAATTCAATCTGGCCCAGATCAAAGGAGAAATCACTTCACGACAAAGGCAAACCTGTCGTTTAAGAGAACGGTTCTGCCGTCCTGTTCTAGCAGAGAGCAGTGCAGGGGGTGGGCGGGCGCCTCCCCAGGTCAGCAGTTTCTGTCTCTGCTCGTTCCGCACGGACTTCGTTGGAGGGAAAATCGGGAGATTATGAAATTTTGCCGAACAGAGCCTCCACCTTTCACGAACATCACGTGTCGTGAGCCCGCACCGAAGTCCTCGCCCGGGCCTCAGTCTCTTCCCCACCGTCGAAACGCCAGAGGGGTTCCCGCTTCTCCCGCTGCCGACCCAAGGTGACAAGGTAGCCTCGGGACTCCAGCTAAGGCTCCAAGAACCAACTAAGAGAAACGGCAGCTACGGAAACGCTGGCTGTGCAGGGCCCGCTGGGGGTGCCGGGGGAGGGGCCTGCCAGAGCCCGGCCTGGGTGTGTGCGTGAGGGAGAGGAAGGTCAAAGAACATTGGTAAAACCGGGTAAGAGCTGGAGACACTGGTGGGGAATCACCGAGTGTCTGAAGTGCCCCGCGGGACAGGAAGCCGGGACACTTACCTGAAGGCCGCCAAGTACTCTGCATCTCCCATGGGGGGGTCAAGGCCGCCAGTGAAAGCCATGTTGACGTTGAAGCCCACACCTGGGCCCGTGCCCACCTGAGCGGGAGAGAGAAGCCTGCGTCACAGCCCGCGACCGGAGACGGAGTGGGGCCCTGGGTCCTGCTGGCCCCACAGCGGAGCCAGAGAGCCGTGCTCTCAGCGTGTGCTCCCAGGGCCCCCGACACCAGCACCCAATGACGGAGCGGGGGCTCTCGGCCGCTCATGCCTCGTGCCTCTCCCCTGGCCGTGGCCTAGCAGTGTTTGAAGGCCTGCAGCTCTACAGTGTAGACGCCAACAGAGGCACAGAAATGCCCGCGCAGGAGGCTCTGCCTCCCTATCTCCTTCCAGGACATAAGACCCAGAGTCTGAAGAAACTTCTCCCCTGGGTGTCGGGGCCTCTGTTCAGAGCGAGGGCAGGCTCTGCCGTGGGGTCAGAGTCAGGAAGGAGCCCCGAGCTGGCCCATCCCCCCTCCCGTGCGGCAGCGGACAGCCGACGGACAGCACAGGTGCCCTGCCTAACGGACAGACGAGGGAGGGCCAGGAGGAAGGGCACCGCGCTCACTCTCGCATCTGCCCAGTCAGAGCCAGAAACGGCGGCCAGTCTTTCACTTGAACTGCAGACAAGATAAAGGCCACGCGGGTGCAGGTGATGGAATGCAGTCTGTGTCTGCCCCACATCTTTGGGGCGAACGGGGGCAGGAAGGCCTGGCTTGTGCATGTGCAGGGGCCGCGCACACCTGCCCTGGCGCCAGCAGAGCAGCCCTGCTCACGAACAGGCGACCCCTGCTCACCTCGTCTGGCGCCCCGCTGCCCGGGAAGAAGTTCCCGTCGTCGTAGCGGTGAAGAGAGATGTAGAGGACGTTGGGGTCGCTGTAGAAGGCCTGCTGGGTTCCGTTTCCGTGGTGCACGTCCTGAAACAGCAGGAAGGGGCGGACTCAGCGCTGGCGGGATGCCTGCGGGCCCAGCGCGGCCACCCGGGGGGCACAGGGCCACGGGACAGAGAGGAGAGCCGCAGGCCACACCCTCGTCTGTGTCCCCACGCTCAGCACTGCGGTGCATGGACCGTGGCGCATTGCAGTTTCCAGCGAAGAGGAAGAGACTAGCGTTCCAGCCCCACCCAGAGGCCAAAACTTTCCCGACAAAGCCATCTGGCCACTGCCACGTCTGTGAGAAGTGAGCGCACTGCAGCTGTTCACTTCCGAGCACAGGTGAGGTGCCAGCTCTGAGCCAGGCACTGGGGTGCAGCAGGAGGCCACCCCAAGTGGCCGGAGGTGACCGGTGCACACAGCATGGGGGTCCCAGGCCCCAAGCTCGAACGACAACTGCGTCTCCTTTTTTAATTTATACTTAAAAAATTTTAAGTTTATTTACTTTGAGAAAGAGCATGAAAAGGGAGGAACAGAGAGGGAGAATCCCGAGTAGACTCTGTACTATCAGTACAGAGACTGATGCAGGGCTCGAACCCGCGAACTGTGAGATCATGACCTCAGCAGAAACCAAGAGTCAGACACTTAACCAACTGAGCCTCCTAGGTGCCCTTATTTTTTTTTTTTTTAACGTTTACTTATATTTTGGGGAGGGAGGGGAAGAGAGGAGGAAACACAGAATCCAAACCAGGCTCCGGGCTCTGAGCTGTCAGCATGGAGACCGACCTGGGGCTCGAACCCACGAACCCTGAGATTGTGACCAGAGCCGAAGTCGGACGCTTACTGGACTGAGCTACTAGGCGCCCTAGAAAGGAGCCATTCTTAGTGGGACACCAAGGCTAAAATGATTAATATGTGACTGCCCCTCTCCTGTTCACACTCTGTCTCTCAAAAATAAACATTAAAGACTACATTAAAAAAAGTAAAAGCTATCTGAGCTCACTAGAGCAGACACGGCAGGCCGGATAGAAACCGAGCTGTTAGAGACAGACGCCTGATGCCACCACCAGGAAGCCAGCACAGCTGATAAGACGCGCACCAAGGCTCCGGGACGTGAACAGTCCGCACCGGAGGCAGCCCTGCCTGCGTGCGTGCTGTTTCCCGTGGGGGCGGGTCCGGCAGGAAAACGGGGTGGGGGCTACACGGGCGTGAAGGGGCCGCCCGGTTCCATCAGGAGCGTCTGACCCGCGTGGCGCCACACTGGCCGCGGGAGAGCCTGGCCCAGGCCCTGCGGTGGACGCATGGTCGAGACCGGCACAGCCCCCCGCCCCGCCCCGAACCCTCCTCTCATCCAGGTTCTGACTGCTGCCCTCGGCCACGGGCACAGTTCCAGACATTTCAGGAACCGGCTACTGGCAGGACGGGCAGAGGGCGGCTGGAAAATGGACTCGGAACAAGTCTGAGCTTTTACTTTCTGCATCTCTGAGGTAGATTCCAGAAAGTTACGTCCCCAAATCCACCGTCAACAGAGGCACAGACGCACATAGGACGCTGTCCACTCGGGGAAGCAGGGGGCTCACGGCCCCCGGGCCCTGTCGGGGAAGGGCCCCACTCACCCAGTCCACTATGAGCGTCTTGCTCACGTCCAGCCGTTGCTGGAGAAGCTTGGCTGCGATGGCCACGGAATTGAAGTAGCAGAAGCCCCTGCAGGCGAGATCAGGAGAAACAGGTGAACACGGGTTCTCGTTTCTCATCCATCTTCATGCGCCAGGCGACACAACCGTCTGGGGTCCCGTGCGATCTGACGAGGGTCTGGGGAACTCGCGGCTGCTTAACTGCTGAGGGACAGACAGACGCCCACAGGTCTCCTGCACGCACACCGCCGTGCCCTGGGTGGGAGGCCCTCCCTCGATGCACCAACACCCGCCTCCGCGCCCCAGAACTTTGCGGGATGTGCACGGGCAGCCTCTGCAGGGGCCCCAAGCATAGGCACACAGGTCACCAAGGTTACCTGCTCTTCTGTCCTGTTCTCAGACAGGCGACAATGACACACGAATGGGCCCCGTGACTGACTAGTTCTGAGTCCCCCGGAGGGCGAGGAAACAAGCGAACAAGTAATCTGAGTGAAACTGAAACTCTCCACATCTAGTGCCCCCGCCACCAAAACTACCGCAAAGACGGGAAAGCGGGGGCGGGGGTTCTGTTTCTGGAAGCCGGGCCAGCAACCTGCGAGCCCCCCGGTGATGGGATGCACAGCCTCCGGGGCTGGAAGCCCAGGCCGCAGGCATGGCGTCCACCCAACACGCCGCCCGTGTCCCCTTTCAGTCCACGCACGTTCACACCTGAGAACACCCAGCCGCTTCGACTCCGATCAGAACAGCACCTCCAGGGGAAGGAGGGTCTCGCTCCCAGATGACACGGAGCGTTCTGGGCCACAGCGCCACCGGGCCACAGGGCTTATGTGAGGCTGCAGTCTAATCTGAAGCCCACACCCTCCGCCCCCAGCAGCAGCGGTCTGATGCCTTCACTTCCGCACTGAGAGGACAGAGGGCTCCCGCCTGCCAAACCCTGGGCTCCTTCAGGAGTGTGGCCTCCGCCCGCGGCCCCTCAGCCTCGTTCCAGCTGCTCCTGAAGACAGGCAGGGCCCCGCCGTGCTGTCTGACCCACCCTACTCTTCGGGGCACAGCCCAGATGTCACCTCTCTGACCCCCACCAGCAGCGTCAGCGCCCCTCTCGGCCCCCGAGCGCGGGGCGCCCGGCCACCCACGCCCCGTCCCGCCGGCTGGAGTGGCTGCCCATGTCCCACGAGATGGCGTCCCGGCCACCCCACCCCCAGGCACCACGGCACGCGGTACACAACTGGTGAGGCCCAGGATCCAGTGTCTGTGACTCTGCCCCAGGTGGTACCCCCCCGCCACTGACTCTCGCAGGTGAACCTGGGGAATCTGCACGCTGCGCCCGCTACCTCGTACGGCTCCTCAGACGTGTGCGTGGTCAGGGGCACCCATGGCCCAAAGCAGAGCCCAGACCTAGCTGGCCCCTGTGGTCATGACCTTGAGGCGTAAGTCTCATTGGTACCACACCACAAGCAGGTCAGCTAAAAGGCTACATGCAGATGACCTGAGGGCTTTGGTTAGAACGTTCTAGAACAATGAAGCACCACCTGAACTCATTCTGGCACAGGTTAAGTCCACCCAATTCTGTACGAGCCTGAGGACGTCTAGAGCCATCTGCAGGTTCCTCGCCTTCCCTCCCAGCTCTGGGCTGCCACCTCGCCACAGCTGGCGGGTGAGGGCACCTGTGTGGCCCTGGAGCTGCGGCCATGTTTTCAGTCCAGTGCAGCCCAGCTCTTCCAGGAGAAGAGTCAGAAACCTGCACCCCTGCCCATGACGGCTGCGCCTACTTACATGGGTGTGCTCTCCTCTGCGTGGTGTCCTGGGGGGCGGACCACAGCGAAGCCATTCTGTGTGCGGCACCGACAGGTGGGGAGAAATGGGGGAAAAGTCGGGTTTCACGTTAGTGAGAAGATGGGCACAGACCACACACAAGGGCACAGAGTCATGACACAGCAGGGCACGCAGCTGTGGGACAGGGTACGGGGCAGACGTTTGGGTCTCTGCTCTTAAGATCTGTTGGTTGTCATGGTTACTAAGATAAAAGGTGACGTCGTCCCTGACTTTTATCTTTGATGGCTCTGGGGCGAGAAGGCTTGGAGCTGCTCAGGTCGGGGACCTGGGTGGGAGTGGGCAGGGCATGCTGGTCCCCCTCTGTTCAGGAGCGGTACCCCCAGGAAGCCACCTGATGGAAGCCCTGGGTGCAGAGAGAGCATAAGAGGCTCAACCCCAGGGCTCCTGCCGTAGTTTGGGCTTAACATGAACGACACAGCTCCCAGGGGGTGGGCACTGCAGAGAACCTGGACCCATTCACTTACGAGAAACAGCCCAGAAGCTAGCAAGAGGCTGCTCCCCACACCCAGGACCCGTAAGTCACACGTGCTTTATGGACCCATCTGTGCACCACTCAGCAACCACGGGGATGCAAACCACACACGTGGGCATGTGTGTGTGGCCGGCAGGGAACAGCCCCCGGGGCGGGCTGACCCATGGGTGACGGGCCGGGAGGCGCTGTTCAGCCTGCTGCGGGGACAGCTCCGGGAGGGACGCCCTCACGTGGGAGGCCCCACGTTGTGCCCTCTCAACACCGTCCTACGAGCGGGCCCCACACCCGGTTCAGAGTGCAGGCTGTGTCCCTCAGGGGTCCCCGTGTCCCCTGTCCTAGGACTCAATCACCACGTGGCCAGGACAGGGTGGCAGGCGGCTGGGGCCACAGGAGCCGGCACTGCCAGGGACTCATGGGCACTCGGCCCGTGTTCTCCACTACGTCGGAGGGGATGGCAGTTCTGCCGAGGACGTGAGACAATCAAATGTATCAATTTCAAGAAGGCTCCTCCCTTGAGTGAAAAAGGGAAAGGACAGGCAAGCAGGTGCGGGGCAGGCTGCAGGGTCATCACGGCGAGCTCCTGCCTGCGCTCAGAAGACCTTCCTGAGGAGATGGGGCCCCCGGTGGAACGGTTCTGAAAATCAGTGACGGTTTACACACTATGCCACAAAACGTGCCAGGGTTCTGGAAGGTCGCCCTAACTCAGGAGCCGGTACTTCCAAATGAGTGGCACTGTGTTGCAGAAGCCGGGAGTGGAGAAAAGCTCTGTTTAGCCTGTAACGGACCGGTGGGTTCAATGCCAAGGAGAAGAGCCCGCTGCTACTGTTTCAGGTTCCACAATGCAATCCATCTTCCAGCAACTTCCACTTAACGGAACTGTGGCGGAGCATCAAGGAGGAGCCTCCACGGTTGTCTGAGAAAGCCACCTGCGGATGCTGTCCCCCTCCCCAGCCCCACACCTGTGCGAGGCCAGGGACGCGGGAGCAGGTGTGCACCTGCACCTGACCTACTAACGCAGGCGTCACTGTTATTTCGCGTTCATACAGTTTGTAAATTCCTGTGTGACTCTAGCGTGCTCGGGAGGCTGACAAAGTGCGGGCACAGAACTCTCAGGTTCCTCAAAGTCGTTAAGAGCGTCAGGTGCTCCCCACACCAAATCTCCGAGAGCCGCTGTCAGGTGCTTTCATAAAGGTGGGAGGTGCCCCCACAGATGAGGGGGGACTGACGGGATGGGGCCCACCCTCCCCCCTTCAGCGCCTCCTTCCAGAGGGACCTACAGGGGGAGGGGCTGTCCTGCCCCCCACCCCGGAGACCCGCGGGCCGCTGTCCTCCCAGGCCCGTTTCCACAGGTCCTCACTGACCTTGAGCTCCCCCGTGGCCACCTTGAAGACCAGCTCCACCACGCAGCCCACGGCCAGGCGGGCCGCCCCCGACGAGTGCACCTCGTTCCATATGGTGTCGCTGTCGACCTGCAGAGACGAGGGCCCGGAGTGAGGGGTGCCTCGGCCTGGCACCCCGTCCCCAACCCCTGGGGGCCGTGCGGCTGGGGCTCCCTCTCCAAAGTCCCAGAACGGGGCCGCTCACCTCTCTTTCACTAATTATAGGACACACCCAGCACCCAGCTCACATTCACCCTTTTTTTTTTTTTTTAAAGATATGCCAAAAAGTACTACACAGGAAAAGAACCACAGACGCAGCGGGAATGAGAGGTGCCCCTGCTTCCCTCCATCGCCCCAATGCACCCAAGGCTCAGAGCAGGGGCACTTCGGTCACTGAGCTCCGTCTGGTGTCGCAGCAACTGCAGGTGAGGATCCTAACAGCAAAACCAAGTGTGAGAAGAAGTGGAATGAGAGGTCCCGCCAAAAGACGACTTGACTCTATGCTGAGGAAAACGGGCCACTGCACGTGTCTGACGGGAGCGCAGGGTGGGAAGTGGGGAACCAGCCCCTGAGGACCTTCCTGGGGGGCCGCACACCTCACACAGAAAAACGTGTGGCACGTGCGTTGGGTAATCCATTTGTGTCCTGGTTTGTGTGTTTACGGAGACACACGTCTGATGTGCCAGCTCAAGTCACCCTGTGGGGGCCGGGGCGGGGGGGGGGGCCCAGACGGTGCCCACAGCCCCAGGGTGCCAGGGCAAGGGCACCTGAGCCACCGTCTCCAGCGGCGGGGCAGCCCGAGCCCGGGTCACGCACACGTAGGGCTCCCGCGCCCTTCCTCTGGGGGGCGCACCCCGCCTGGTGAGGGCTCGGAGTGGCTGTGTGGTGACAAGCCTGTCACCTGCAATGCAGTGTCTGCCGAGTCCATTCGAGAGCCTGCCCTTCCCCAATCAACCCCCTCCGGGCGCTGAGCCCTCTGGGGACGCAGCCCGACTGGGGCGCAGCCAGGCTCCTGCCGCCCGACAGAGACACCGGTCATTATGCAGGGGGACGGGTTTCCTGCAAGGAACTCTTGAAGCTTCACCTTCAAAGCGAGACGATTGAAAATACACTTAGGAGGGGTTCAAGCCATTTCCGGAGGAGGGTCATTCTTTTCAAATGAGCAAACCTCTGTGTTCTTTAAACAGTTTCCAAATGTCAAAAGAACGCTCTGCACTTTGCCGACTCTCCACAGCATTAATATTCGACTTTCAAAGAGTGGCTTCTGCTGTAAATAACACTGTGCTGCTGCTCACGGAAGCAGCCTCCACACAGCGGCCCGGGCCCACTACTTTCAGCCGAACCGAGTCATTAAAACCGAAGGAGACGGTCCTCCGGCGAGTGGCAGGGGGACCCCGCCGCCGCCGCGCCTCCCCGGAGGGGGAGGATGAGGGTGTCGGGCAGGCTGGCGTGGACGCTGCCTCCCCGAGGACCGAAGGCAGTTTATGCAAAACCACTCATTAGGCCTCCTCAAAACGTGAGGATCTGGGTTTTGAGCCCAGCGAACCAGCGCGGCACACGCTTTGACAGGTCTCTGCATGATCCCGGGGCAGAAGCCCTGCGAGGCCTCGTCCACGGTGAAGGACAGCGTCCCAGGCCGCCAGTGCTGGGCCAGCCTGGGCCGGGTGCTTCCAGCCCTGAGCGCCAGGGGCACGGGGCGGGCAGGCATTGGCCACTGCGGGAGCACTAACGAGGGACCACAGGGAAGGGCGGATGGGCTGCTCGGTTTCTCACAGCAGAGGCAGAAACTAGCAGAGGAAAATGCGGAGGACTTCCCGCTGAGACGTAGAAGGGATGAAGGATTCCGGGCACCCCATGGCCCTTGGGGAGCCGTGGAGATCGGGGCGCCCAGGGCCAGCAAGCGGCCGCTAGCCCACAGGGAGGGGCATTCACCCACACCAAGTCCCCTTAAGGGGAAAACAGGGAAGATGAGGAGGTGAGCAAAGCAGAGGTTTTTATTTGGTTTGAAAAAAAAAAGTTCAGTGATTTAGAGCCCTACTTTTAGCACAGTTAAGGGGAAAGGCGTTTGCAAGTAACTTTAAAACACCATCCCACACTCTAAATGCTAATTCAAAGTAACTTTCAGGAAAAGGAGGGGCCCCTCCTTACCTGCGTCACCACCCAGAACATGCACATTCCCGCCCATACTTAGGCTCCGGGGTCTACTTGGCTTTCCCGAGATGCCACCAGGGACACGGAGCCCACACAAGCAATGTGCTTCTCCGCCCTCCTGGGAGAGGGGATCACGGAAAGGCATTGAAAGAGAGCCATCCCCCAAAGACCCTACGGTCCGCGCCTTCTACTAATGAGCCCACAGGCTCCCTCTCCACCCAGCTCAGCCTGTGGGAGTGCTGACCAGAGCGCTCTCGTGCCCGGATATGAAGGTGGGTGCTGGCCGGTCTGCAGGGGCTCAGATCTGGGCGCACAGTGGGGGCTGCCTGGATCCAGGACCCAGGCCCGACTTGAGCTTTCTTTTGCAAATTATAAATCCTGCCTCGCACGGCGCACTGGCCGCAGGGCAGCCGAATCCAAGCCTTTTCAAGTCTGGCCAAAAATTTGCCCCGAATTAAGAGACTGCAGCCTACTTACAACACAAAATCAAATAACTCTAGGGGGCTTGGTGGTGGTATGAGTAAATGCCATTTATTCTCTTTCTGACGGGATAATTTTCAAAGCAGTGACTTTTGTAAAAGACTCAGGAAGAAAACAATTTTGTTTCATTTCCATAACAGAATCCAGACCCGGGGCTCCCCCTGCGATCTGTAATCAGGCCCCCACGCTGCCCCGGCCTGGCTGAAGCCGAGGAGGCCGTGCTGTCCGCGGCGTCCGGCCGGCCCCTTCCCTGCGCGGCTGACCGCGCTACTTCAGGGGCTGCGGAGCCCTGACGGCCAGCATACCCCGTCCCTGCTCTCACCCCCCCAGCCCTCTGTCATCCAGGGTGACAGGAGCCGGGGCTGGGGAAGGGGGCCCCTCTCTGTTAACAAGAAGCTCTGGCTGTGGACGCCTGACCTTTGCTGCACTGTGGGAAGGGTGGGCGTCCAGTCCGGGCATTGTGAAGGACCCTGGTCTCCAGAGCAGGTCTGCCTAAGGCTGTTACCGCTCACAGAAAAGCAGTACCCGCACGACTCCCCCCCCCCCCAACCAAACGGCATTCAGAGGTTCACCAGGGCCCTGGGGCCGGCGGTCGGACACAGCGATTGCACGTACCCTGTTCTACCGCAGCCCGAGCCGAGATGAGCGGGCTGTTGCACCGCGGGCTGGGAGGGGACACTGACCGGCACCCCAGAGCCTGTTCCCACGGCAGGTGTGAGCCAGATGGCCTTCCTGGAGGAAGATGTCCGACTCCAGCCTACAAAGGCTCCCAGGCCTTGAAGCCACACGTGTGAGCAGTGGGGGGGGTCCCCCCTCTCCCCTGCCCGCCCTGTTTATGGAAAACACCTGGCAGCAATTATCCACTCTGTGGAGGACAGGGCGGCGACTTCTGTGGCCGCTGGGGCCCCGCGAACAAACAGGACGTTATTTACACATTAAAGCAATACTCACCCCGACACCACCGCAGGGCAGCCTGACGAACACGGACGTTAGCGAGCCTGTGGGGAGGAGGACAGCCGAGGTCAGGGGGGCGAGGTCCCAGGCGCCCCGCCTACAGGGAGCGTGTCGCGGCTCTGGAAGTGGGGTGCCCAGGGGTGCTGGCACTCGAGGACGCACGGCATGTCCACACACCGAGGGGCATCACTGTGTGGCTGCTGGGGGACAGTCCCTGGGGACGGACCTCCCCCTCCCCACGCCAACAGTCACCCGTCTGGGGGTCCGCACAGAGAGGTGGGCTTCTCCTTCCGGCCGTAGCTCGTGCATCGCACACAGAACAAACTGAAAGGCTGCGTCCCAAGAACGCTTCGCTGTGCAGCAACCTGACCTGCCCCTCAGTGAGCTGCCCTCCCCCTCATCCTCCTCCCCCCGCTAGCCCCCCCCCCCCGGCTCCATGTGGCTGCCATCCCCAGGGAGCATGTGTCACAGGGACAGAGAGCCCCCCCCGCGCCCCCCCGGCTCCATGTGGCTGCCATCGCAGGCAGCTGGCCTGGGAGGCCCTCCCTCCCTGTGCTCCCACGTACACCCTGCCCCGTGGGCCCTAGGACCCCCCGGCGGCTTCCTCAGGCCAGCTCCGGACTCCTCTTTTCTTATTTTTGAGAGAAAGAGAGAGGAGAGAAGAGGAAGAGAGAATCTCAAGCAGACCCCATGCCCAGCACAGAGCCCGACATGCGCTCACACTCACGAACTGAGAGACAGTGACCTGAGCAGAAATCCTGAGTCGGAAGCTTCACTGAGCCGACCGGGCACCCCTGGACTCCATTTCTGGGGGTGCCGGGGCTGTGCCCACCGCGGGGAGGCCCCGCACCTCTGCCTGCCCCAGGACTCTGGTCCCTGCTCTGGGCGCTCCTGAACCACACTGCTGGGGCCACGGGGCCCGGTCTGTGCCCACCTCATCCTGACTCCTGGTGTGGACCACACCAGGCACCGAGCCACTGGGGGCCACGTGGTGGGCTGGCCCGGCCTGCACCGTCCTACTGCGCACCTGACAGTCACGCAAGGCGCACGCTCACCTAGGCCCAGGCGCACACACAGCCACCTGTCCCGGCACCTCAGAAATGCCCGGACGCCGGGGCCCGACCTCAGTCCTGCCGCTCCCTGCGCCCCACCCGCTCTCCTCCCGCCGCGTCTGACTGGCTGCCGCTGCCTGGATCCGTGGCTCCTACTGCCACGTTCTCTGGGAGTGTGGCCTGCGAGGGTGGGGGGACACGTCTGCCTTCCTTCCTTCGTGCCCGCTGCTGGCCCACGGCCAGGAACACACAGATGTGTGAGTGCGGGGGGAGGAGGCCGGGGGGGGGGCAGGGTCAAGGCCTGTGGCTCCCGAGGGGCTAGCTCAGCCTGCCCCTCGAGTGACCCTCTGCAGGGAGCCGCCGCGCGGGGAGCAGGTGGCTGGGGCAGCAGCCCAGGCAGGAGAGGGCACGGGTGCCATGCCTCCTGCCGTCCTGCTCTGCCCTGTGTGCACCTCGTGGCCCAGGTCCCTGACTGAGTCCCGGGACGGGCAGGGAGCCCTCGATCGGCCCTGGGGTTGGGGCTGCGTGACGGGCCCTCCTCCCGTCGTGGAACGTGGTGCAGGGGTTGAAAGAGCCTCCTCCCTGGCAACCCCAGGTCTGTGGACGTGACTTGCGGCAGACCCACGGGCCTCAGTCCAGGGGGAAGGGGGCTCTGCTAAGAAACTAGAGGTCTATTTTTAATTAGAGCCAATACTGTCTACGTTAAAAGCATAAATCATTTAAATATTGTAACTATGCTCATTAGCCAGCAACCAAAGACCAAGATGGAAGGAAAAGACAGGCTCTCCTGCCCCTCGGGTGGGCGCTAGGCGCACGCCTGGACGGGAAGCAGCCCCCCCGGAACCAGGGCCGGCTCTCGGCACAGCTCTTCCCACTCCCCTCGGCCGCCTGCTCGCCTGTGGCTCCCTCGGGCCTCCTGTGGTCTGGGGCCACCATCATCTGGGTGAGGCCACAAACGTCCAGGCAGAGCGGGTGTGGATGCATTACGGGCCACCTTGCTGAGAGGTAGGCCGGGAGCCCGCGGCCCACATATTCCTATGAGGCCTCCGCTGCCCCCCACACGGGGTCTCACGCCTCCCAAGTACCGCCAGGCACCACTCGACCATGTGACCAGGTTCCCTTTCCAGGTGCCTGTCTCAGAGACACGGCCGGACCTCCAGGAACAGCCAAGGCCGTGGCCCACACCCTTCAGCACCCACGGTGTGCGTCGGCGGAGCGGCACTGCGCCTCAGCAACACGCGGGCCTCCTTGCACACGGCTGAGATTTGGGGGCTCGATTTAAAGAAGCGGGGAACTCGCACGGCAGCGTTCGAGTGCCCGATCAGGGTTATGCTAGCAACAGAATAGTCTCCAACTTCACTACGCCCGGAGCAGTCAGACTGATGACGGGACTCCTGGTCATCAGCACAATCGCCAGGAGGCTGAAAACAGATCTCAGGTGCAGAGAAGGCAGGCGGTCAGGGGTCCTCTGAGCAACGGGGCCGGGTTTCCAAACAGCGTGTGCAGCAGAAAAGAAAAAGGAAACGGAACGACTTGGTATTGCCAGTGTGAACCATGCACACGCTCCCCGCACAGGCTCTGCCACCACAAAATAAACGCGGAGCACACGCGGACGGCTGCATCCGGACGGGGGCGGGGGGGCAGGTTTCCGGCAGACCCAGAGACAGGACAGGGGCCTTCGGGGGCCGGTGCTGCTGAGCGAGGAGGAGCAGCCCCACGCGGACCGGGTCCAGGAGGCAGCGATGAAGGGTCAGCCGCTAGGAAAGCTCCAGGCCCTCCCGGTGGCACCTGCCGCCCTTCTCCCCGGAGACCCCGCATGTGCCTCGTCTCTCGTTCCTCATCCGTCTTAGACCGAGTGTGAACCTGGCTCCAAGACTGGTCCGTTCTCCTGCCAGAGCGTCCGAGCTGGCCCCTACCTGCGACGTGGAAACACGTACCTTCTCCTGCCCAACGTCACTGTCCGAGAACAACACACCAGCGCAAAGGGACTCCGGTGGCAGCTCCACTGACACCGCCTCTGGCGGCGGACAAGGGAGCAGCGGCTGAACCGGGAAGAGCCCCGCTGAGAGGAGGCGCCGCAGCTGCCATGCAGCGCGCTCGCTCGGGACGGAGCAGACACTGCCCTCCGCTGCGGGGCCGTCCAGACAGCCCCCGGTGACCGTGAGGTCGGGGGACTACCGGCGCTGTGCCCGGGCAGCGCTGGCATCGCGGGGCCCACAGGATCCTCGCCCGTGCTGCAGGCCGTTCCGGACCCCGAGGTGCCGCCCTGGAAGGAGCGGCCTTTCCCGCAGGGCCCTGGCGGCCGCTTCCCCGTGGCGCCGCGCTGGCCTTTTCCACGCGGCCCCCTTGCTCAGCTCGTCCCTGAGGCCGCCGACCTCCTCCCCACCGTCCACGTCCTGGAAGGCTCCCCTCTGAAGCTCCCGGCCCGGCCCGGGCGGGGGCCCTTTCCTCTCTGGACAAGCTCTGCCGGGTTCCCACCATTTCTGGCCTCACCAGTCCCCAGGCCTTCCACCAGCGACCCGTCCTCGGGGCCGGCAGCTCAGACCTCCCCCGCTGCCCGAGTCCCAACTCCACTCCGCCGGGAAGGCCCTGGGCCCCTGCAGTCCACACCTGAACCCCCGCCACCGAGGGACAGAGCACACCAGCAGGGGACCTCCCTCCTGCCAACTGCCCCCACACACCTGGCGTCACCCCTACGGTGTACCCTAAACCACGACGGCTGGGCTTTGAAAACCTGACTCGAGCAGCGAGAAAAACCCTGCTGTGTAAGCGGAGGACAGAGGTGCCCGTGTGAGGGGGTGGCTCCCGTGACAGGACAGGCTGGGGGGGGGTCTCTGGGGCATGTCTGGCGTCAGCTCCCCTGGGGTTCACAGGGGGTCTGGGGCAGCCAGAGCACCTGGCCTGGCTGTGGACCAGACCCACCACGTGGCCAGCACAGTGAGCGGCTCTGGGTCCTGCTGAACCCACCAGGCCCCAGCTCCCTCTCTGGGTGGGAGAAGTGAGCCCCCAGGCACTGCTGGCCGCAGGGTCTGAGGGGCCGGGCAGGAGGAAGCCCAAGAAGATGCTGGCACAGACCCTCAGCCACCCTGCTCCGGGCTGTTCTAGATGCTTCTAGGTGGGGAAGGCATCCCACAGGGGCTGGCTTCTCTGACAAACACACACTGGGACCCCGATGCCCAGGGGAAGGTATTACGAGCAGAGCTCGGAGGCAGTCAGGTCATGGGAGCGGGGCCCTCGTGATGCAGTCAGCACCTTGGGAAAGACTCAGCCAGGCTCCCTCCCCTCGGCCCCCAGGGAGGGCGCAACGAGGCCTGTGAGGTGGAAGGCCCATGCCCACCGTGGGGCACCTCGACCCCAGCCCTCCATCTGCCAGCCTGTGAGCGATGGGCTCTGGCCTCTGGCCGCGGTGCCCGGGGGCAGCAGCCGGAGCAGACAAGGCAGCGCAGCTCCGCCCGCGTGTCCTTCTGGAGGAAGCGCGTCTGCAGGTGCCTCTGCTTTGGCTCCTCCTCGCCCTCCCGGCTCGGCCGAAGCTGCAGGCTGGGAAGGCCTCTGCCCAGAACTGGCGAGGGGCGCGGACGTCGTGCGGCGCCCGCCCTGGAATCTCACGCACCTCCCCGTGCCCCCCGTCCCGGCCACTCCCTCGAAGGCCCGGGCAGCCGCGGCTCGCCTGTGGCTCTGCGGCCTGCCCACGGTCGCTCCAAGGCGCTCTCCTCCCTCCCTCTTTCTCTGGAAACGCCTGCGTGCCAGAAACGCTCCCTGGATTTTCTTACTCTTTCTCTTGCCTTCTAGCTCCTGCCCCGGTTTTGCTCTGCGGAGGCTGAGGTGGGACTGAGCCCACCTACCCTCCAGCCCAGGACTTTCTACTGTCTGATGTGACTGGAGTGTTCCGGGTCTCCTCCTTTCTCCCTGCACGTCTGATTTCTAGTACAGAAAACGCACTCCCCAGAGGACAGGATGAGTGAGTGCAGGCGTGAAGCAGGGAACACACGCATGAGTGCATGAGTGAGGGAAGGGGGGACGGAGGGAATGAGTGCACAAGTGAGGGTCTGAATGAATGAGTTGAAGGAGTGAACACACCCATGCGTGCATGAGTAAGTGAAGGAAAGAGCGAAGGAGTGAATGATTGCAGGAGTGATGTCTGAATGAGGGAATGAGTGAAGCAGGGAACACGCCCCTGTGGCCACGAGTGAGTGAACGGCGCGGCGCTGTGCTCGGGAGATCACAGAGCCTTCAGGACACCTGGGAGCAGGCCACCCACCGAGTTCCTCCAGGTTCAAGGTGGCTGGGAGGCTGGGGTGCACGGTGCCCAGGACGGGTCATGACGGGGGTGGGGTCTGAGCCCAGGGCCCGGAGGGTGCAGAGGCTCCCGACCAGCCAGGCTGCAGGTCCCTGCTGAGACTCCCCACCCCTCCAGGCAGAAGCACCGCCAGCAAGTTCCTTCCTTCAACACTAGAGCTGTCCCCGAGCGCAGAAGCCACTGCCCCCCTCCCCCCGCCTCTGCCCGACCCCAGGCTCACTGCCGCAGGGGGCTGGCAGCAGGGCCGCGGCTGGAGCACCCCCATCCGCCCGCCGTCACGGAACATTCCGCAAGGCCAGTGCTTGTCAAGTGCGGTGTCCGCGGCACCCGACGTGGGCGCGGAACCAGCAGCCTCCTCCCACCCTCCGCTCAGTACCTGGTGCAGGCCCCGCGCAGGTGCAGGACGGAGCCTGGTGGGCGGCGCTCAAGGGGCGGGGCCAGCGAGCGCGGGCGGTAAAGGTAAAGAAGGCCTTGAAATACCTAGAAGTTTCTTACTGTCCAGTTTCTGCCTGTTGAGGGGGTTTGTGCCATAGAGCAGCGCGTGCGCCTCCGAATGCACCGTCTGCAGCTCCTCCAGGGTGGCCTTGCGTCCGCGGATACACTGCGGGGACAGAAGGAACACGTGCTCACGGCTCCCGCGCCTTCGGGCTCGCTCGCTCGGCAGAAGGGAATTCCCACGGAACCGTCACCCCAGAGGAAACTGAATCTGTACGTGCACGGGCACACAATTACTTAGTTCTTGCAAAATAAAAAGTAAATAGCACCCAGCACCACGTTTAAAACTATTTGAAAAATGTTTTGGAGGCTTTACGGTTTAATTATAACTTTGAAAAACGTTTAGAAAGATAATTCCAGCCTTCGACGCTTTAACCTTCCCTGTCACCCAAATGATTTGGCATCAAATTACTACTTTGCCTTCTAAGTGCTGGGTCCCTTCTCGGGGGTGGGCGCTGCTCACTTAGCTCCGCGTAAGGGGGGGGTAGGTGCACGAGGTCCCTACACAGAAAAGCAGCCCCTTCCTTCGATCCTCGCTGGGCCGTCAGCTACTTAAGGTCACTATCTGCAAGTCCCTCTGCATTTTCCTTTGGTCTGGAAATTGCTCAAGCCTCCATAGCTATTTTCATGTTTCTCCCCGGAAATTAACATAAAATTCACTATTCTTGACTCAAGCTCAGTTTACTGAAACTTTCAAGAAGAAGGTAGTTTACGGAGTGAGGTTAAAGGTCACCCTTCTGAGGGCGACGGTCCCACAGGCGCCTGCTCGACCTGGAGGCCTCCGTGGCGGCACCAGGGAAGTGCCCGGGGCTCCTGCGCACGAGCGCGCGGTGGCAGCTTCCCCAGGGACGCCGCAACACAAGAGACGGGGGGCGCAGAGCGGGCAGGCGCAGGCCGGCGGCCACATCTCCGCCAGCCCGTCCTCCCTGCGTGGCCGGGGCCGTGAGCGCCACGCCCCTCACTGCCCAGCCAAGCCCGATGCAGCAGCACCGGGAGCCCTGGCCCCGCAGTCGCCCACCAGATCCGGGGCCCTGCCCGGAAGGTTCTGGTCTCCAAGTGGCTGGGGACCCTGGGAAGTCCGTGCACTGCCGGTGCCTCTGACCTCTGTCATCGAGGGCCGTCGCCCACCACCCGTTTCCCGCCCCCGGGCCCCGAGATCTGCTGCCCTGGGGCTCCGTGTGGGAGCCTGTGGGGACAGGGACGCCGTTTTCCTTTGAGCTGCATGAAGCAGCTGGTGTACCCTGAGGTCCGCGTCCCCCACGTCCCCAAGGTCACTGCACGGAACCCGCGTTTCACCCGGGCCTCCGCCCAACCCTCCCGCTGACGCCGGTCTGACCCCACGTCCCAGAGGCCTCCTCCTGGTACCCAGGCCGCCAGGTCCAAGGACGCCCGGCCGCCGCCGGCCAGAGCAGCAGCACTCCTGCCTCGGGGCCGAAGGAGGCGGAGGGGTTCGAGGGTCCCCTTCTGTCCTGTCTCACGGGCTCACCCCTACCTCCCTGTCCAGTCTTCTATCTAAAAAAGCCCTGTCAGAGGCCCCCCACTGAGGGGACCCCCAGGGGAGCCAGAGGGTAAAGAGCAGGTTGCGGGGAGCAGTCCTCTGAAGGTGGGGCAGAGGCCCTGCTCCCACGGGGTAGGACGGAGTGCACCGGGCGGTGTCAGAGGGGCGTCGCCAGGGCGCTGCTGCCCCCCGGTGGTGCAGCCTCCGGCCAGAGCCCAGCGCAGGTGCCGCCCTGTCTGCTCCAGAGGGCACCGCGGGGCTCTCGGGCCCCTTCCCTGTCCCCAAATCCTCGATCATGAGAGCTGGTAAAACAGACGGACTTAAATTCCTGAATGTTCTAGCTTCTGAAAGACTAACAGGCGTACACGGGGAGGGGCTCTGCTGTCCCCATGGTCCTGAACTGCCCGCCGTAGGGCTCTTGCCTTCCTGGGTCCCTGTGCAGGGCGGCACGTGCCCTCCTTGCTTTCAGAGGATGGACACAGGTGCCCCCTCGGTGGGCATATGGGGGGCTGCTGCCATCTTCCTGCAGTGGGGGAAGAGGCAAGGGGGGCAGACAGAGACAGAGCCAAAGGGGACAGATGGGGATAGACAGGAACAGAGGGGACAGGGGAACAGAAGGGATGGGGGGCGGGGGAAAGGGGACAGAAGGGGACAGAGGGGACAGGGGAGAAGCGGGAAGGGACAGAGGCGGCAGGGGGACAGACAGGGACAGAGGGGGTGGGGGACAGAGGGGGCGGGGGACACGGAGGCAGGCCCTGGGTGTTGAAAGCAGGTCAGGCCTCTTCCCGCTCACATACAGGTACAGGGTGGCCTGGCGGGAACGCTCCCGGGCGCCCCAGCCCGTGGCGACCTCACCCCCGGAGCCCTCCCGGCAGCCCCGGCGCGGCCTTACCTCACACTTGCCCCGGAGGCCGGTCTCCTGCAGCCGAGACCAGATGCTCTGGATCCGGCCCGCGTGCTCGGGGTGGCTGTTAGTGCTCCCGCAGGTGCACTGGTGCTTCAGCATCAGCGTGTCATACACGAGGCCTGCAGAAGGCGGCCAGGTTGGCGGCGGGGCCCTCGGGGTCCCTGGCCGTGGGCACGCCGCCCTCCACCCACCCAGAGCCGCCCAGCGAGACACACCGCCATGCCCCCGGGGAGCCACAGGGCCAAGGTAGCTTCCGTCCCTTAGGACGGTTTGTCTGGAAAATCCAAGCTCGCTGGAGGCCGAGCACAGTTCAGAGAAATGGGAGCACGTGCCCAGGGCTCCCCGGGTGGGGGAGGGGGAGCAAGTCAGGAAGGACGGAAAAGATGGCCCAGCCAGCTCCCAGCCTGAGCCATGGGACACGCGTGGTCCAGGACGGCGCTGTCTCCCCAGGGAAGACACTGTAGGCCCCACGTCCACGTCCCTCTTGTCAGTGAGCAGCCTATCGCGCGGTTCCAAGGAATGTCCGAGGCTCATGGGGCTCAGAAGAAAGGTAAGGTGTGGCTCCCACCCTCGGGACCTTCCGGAGCGGCTGGGACATGTGTGTGATCACACATACAAACAGGCAGACACGTGTGTCAGAATTAACACAGAGCACATGTCACCAACTGCCCGGTCTGCGGCGTCTTGGGGACGCAGCTGAAATCACGGTGCCGGCCAGTGCCCAGGGAGCCGAGGGGACGGGGTCACCCTCGGGGAGGGATGCTCAGCTGGCCCCCAGCAGCAGCCCAGGCTCTGGGGCACATGGGATGGGGACACTCCCAGGCCAGGGACTGATGTCATGGCCAGGAAGAGGCTGTGCAGGTGGACGTAACCTGTGCATCTGGAGACTAGGCTGGAGAAAGGGGAAGGGCAGGGGCGTGCCAAGCACACCCCTGACACCTCCCTCTAGGACGCAGCCCTGCTCCATGCTCCTCCTAGGGTGGCTGGGGAAGGTCTGGGCCCATGTGACGTCTGCCAGGAGGGGTGGCCGCTGTCCCTGTCGCAGCACGGTCTGTAGTCACCCCATACTCGGTCTCCTGGGGTCACGGCAACGGGAAGGTGAGGCTGGGTGAGTGGCCCCGCTGGGCCGGCAGGGGGCTGGGAAGGGCACGTGAGGCTAAGGCCCGCTCCCGCAGGCAGAGAAAGGTGGGGACCCAGCGAAGAGCCGAGCTGTCAGAGCCACAGCTACTACTTCTGCGCTCCTGATGCTGGAGAACAGACGGCGCCACCAGACCCAGGGGCACGGGGCTGCAGGGTGGGCCCGTTTCCACAGGGCCGAGCTGGACAGCTGGCCTCAGGACGTTCTAGTCCCCGGACTACCCCCAGCCTCCTGGGAGTCAGTCCCCTCGCGCTGGAGGGATTCCGGGCTATACCAGCAAGACTGCGTGGGGCGGGGCAGGACGTCCGGTAAAGCAGCAGCTGGTGAAGAGCGGGCCTCCAGGACCCAGCGTGATACTCACCACAAGTGTGCTAAAGCACGTGGACAAGTCGTGTACACGAGAGGGTGTGTAAAGCGTGTGGACAAGTCGTGTGTACACCAGAGGGTGTGTAAAGCACGTGGACAAGTGTGTACACGAGAGGGGGTATAAAGCACATGGACAAGTCATGTACACGAGAAGGTGTGTAAAGCACGTGGACCAATTGTGTGCACACAAGAGGGTGCGTAAAGTGCGTGGACAAGTCGTGTGTACACGAGAGGGTGCGTAAAGCACCTGGACACGTGTGTACACGAGAGGGGGCATAAAGCACACGGACACGTTGTGTGTACACGAGGGTGTGTAAAGCGTGTGGACAAGTCGTGTGTACACCAGAGGGTGTGTAAAGCACGTGGACAAGTGTGTACACGAGAGGGGGTATAAAGCACATGGACAAGTTATGTTCACACGAGGGTGTGTAAAGCGTGTGGACAAGTCGTGTGTACACAAGAGGGGGCGTAAAGTACGTGGACAAGTTGTGTGTACACAAGAGGGGGTGTAAAGTACATGGACAGTTATGTATACACGAGAGGGGGCGTTCAGGAGTTTGTAGCAGCATCATACACATGCATGAGTGTGCACGTGTGTGCATACACAGACCATGGTGTCCTCCTGATAAAACAGTTGGCTAATGTTTACTGATAACGTGGCTGGAACTTTCGAGGGGATACCATGTCACTCGCGCTTACACACGGGAACCTGGAGCCCAGGGACAAACTGCAAGTCTGCAGAGCGGCTGAGCCACGAGGGTGAGCTGGGTCCCCGTGCTCGGGGAGATGCCATGGCAGGTGTGACGATTAGCAAGAAGCGCGCGGTGACAGTCGAGTCCTGTCCCTGTAAATCTGTCCCCCAGCTGTGCAAATACATCTGGAGGATGTAAACCACCTCTCCAGGATGCCTACCTCTGGGGGGTGGGATTCCAGGCAACCGCCAATTTCTAGGTGTTTCTACCCCCCCCTTTTTTTTTTTTAACTTACAGGGAGTTTATTCCCATTTTATACATTTTAAAAAAGTAATAATGCAGACGAGCCCGCTGGCCAGGCCACTGCAGGGGCCCGCCTGGCTCCCACAGTGGGCACATTTCTGCTGTGGTTATGGGGACTGCGGTCTCTTCTAGGGACCTGCCCATCTTAGTCACCTGCTGACTCTATTTGTGACCCGCTGCAGTTCCCTGCTTTTCTTTCTGAAAAGCAATGGTTCAGCCTCTGGATAATTACTAATGAAATTTTCCTCTGAATACAGCAAGCATCCTGTCACCAGGAGAGCCGGGCACATTCAGGCGCTCCGCCTTCCGCTGTGCGGGGAGGCCGCTCCAGAGGACTGTGTGAAGCACGGAACAGCTCTGTGTTCAGAGAACGTGCTCTTCATTCGTCACCGGAAAGAGCCGTCCGCTGAGAAGGATGTAAAGAGCTGTCCTGGCTGCCCTCCGTCCTGGGCCGGGCGTGGCTGGGAGTGGGGACGCCCGGGGTACAGCCCGCCACCTGACGCCGAGCCTGGAGCCTCAGGCCCGGCCACGCAGGCCTCGTCTCTGCCTGCAGGGGGCGGTGCTGTTCAAGCAGTACAGCCCTACCTGAAGGGATGGGGCAGCCCCCAGCCAGAGAGCGAGGGCCAGGGGCTGGCTGAGCCGTCCTGACTGTACCCATGAGCCACCTGGGCCTCACCACCGAGGCCCCACCCGAAGGTTCGGTTCACAGAAGGGCTGCTGGGAACGGACAAGGTCACTGTCCCTGCTGACCACGGATGGAAGCTACCCAGCCCACCGGCCACGGTGGCTCGTGGGTGGGCGGCTTCCGGAGAAAACGGATTCTCTAGCCAAGGGGAGGTGGGCTTTGCACCCAGGACAGACCGCAGCATCACAGAAGGGGGCCGGGAGCCTCAGTGATCCACACACGTCCGGTCCCCCAGCCAGGGCTCCACCCAGGTCAGGGACGTCCCCTAACCCTCCGGACGGTGTGGCCCCCGGGCCTCCGTCTGCTCCAGCTGCCACCCAGTCACACGCGCCCTGAGCACGGTACCTGTGGTGAACCTCGGTTTGGCGGGGGGCTCCTGCACGGACATGGGGAAGGTGGCAGATGCCGGGGATGACTGCGCCCGGGACAGAGGCCGGTGGCCGCCGAAGGACACGGGGACGCCGGCCGCCTCCATGGACGCCTGGTAGTTCCTCAGCTGGTGGATCCGCTGCTGCTCCAGCAGGAGGGCTTGCTGGGGGGACAGCAGACACCGGCTCCATGTCACCCGCCCCTCCCACCCGAAGGGCTACACGATCTCTTTGCTGCACGGCTCCGGGCACCGGCATGCAGCACACGGTCCGGGCCTGGCTGGGGCAGCTGCCGGACGGGCAGCCTGGTGCCCGCGGAGACCCCGCCTGCAGGCAGCCCTCCTGGGTGAGCCCGCTGTGCTCTGCTTGGCCCAGGAGTCCCTGACGCACAGGGTGCACCACAGGGTGGAAACGCTACCTCTCCCGCTCGCCGCTGTTTGCTGCCCGGCCTCTTGCCGTCCCACAGGCCAGCCTGAGGGCCGCACGGCTCCCCTGAGGCAGAGATGTCCTGTTCAGGTTCCGGGTGCCCGGGGCTCAGCCGACCGGGTGTCAAGGGGCAGGGGCGGGCGGATGTGCCTCCCTGAGGACATGGGGCCCCAGATGGCCCCCACACTAGCTGCCTTCCAGCAAAAGTAACCAGAGCAAAGGGGAGGTAAATTATTTACTTTCACAAAAGCCTCTTTTTCACAAAAACCATGTTTCTGTTGAGTTGGCTTCGGTAGGAGCTGATAAAGTGGACCGAGAAGCCAGAGGCGGACGACCTCTGTGGGAGAGACGAGACAGGAGGGGCACGATCCATGCCGCTGCCCACAGCACCGCACCACGGACGGTGGGAGCCACCATATCTGGACACAGCTCCACCGCTCAAAGCTGGGATGGGATCCACTTTCTGGGCTCCCCTGACTCTCGGGTCCTTTAACGTTGGGCTTCCGGTTCTCTGGCCAGCGGCCCTAGTATTTTTGTGGGTGGGGAGGCTTTATTTTTCCACGATAAACCGGTAAATCTTTCATCATATTTGTGTATCAGTCTCTAGTGAGTTTGGTTATCGTGTGTCCATGCTTAGGACTACGTACCTGTGTCATACCGGTCTTCTCGATCTGTAAAGTTGGACACCACTGCCTCTTGGGCCCACAAAGGCCTTGACTACCTTTTTGATCAATTAAGAAATCAATCTTCCTTGGGGCGCCTGGGTGGCTCAGTCAGTTAAGGGCCCTATTCAGCTCAGATCATGATCTCACAGTTCATGAGTTCGAGGCCCGTGTCAGGCTCTGTGCTGACAGCTGGAGCTGCTTCTGAGTCTGTGTCTCTCTATCTCTCTATGCTCTTCCATGCTTGTGTGCGCGCGCGCTCTCTCTCTCTCTCTCAGAAATAAACATTAAGAAATTAAAAAAAAAAAAAAAAGAAACGAATCCGTCTCCCCCACTTCCAATGATTATGCTGAGTCCCACTAACACTTTGGAATTACGTTAACCTACGGTTCCCAGATCTGAAGGAAAATTATCCTGGGCCCCAGGGCTGGCACCTGGCTGGAATACAGGTGCACAAATGCCTACAGCGACCAAGGGCCAATATACGGAGGAGGTACAGCTAACGTAAGACAGACAGTAAATCGCACCTGCCTCCCGCACCAGCCGGGGGAGGGCGGGCACCTGCCTCCCGCACCAGCCGGGGGAGGCCGGGCAGGGCCCTGGCCGGGCAGGGATGGGAGGAAGCGGCCCGTCAGTGTCCCCGGGCGGCTGGCCGCAGGGCGCCGCCCCCTGGGGAAAGAGGGTCTGTCCTGTCCCTGCTGGCGGCCCGCCAGGGCGCCCACCTGTCTGAAGAGCAGCTCCTGCTCCGTGGGCTGGCGCTGGCCCGGCTCCGCCTCCCGTGGCGGCTCCGCCTCCTCGTCGTCGCTCGCGATGGGCTCCTGCTTCACCTGCACGCCAGCCAGCGCGCGCGCCTCCTTCTGCCCGGAGGGCCGGTCCAGGTAGGGCTCTTCCAGGAGGGCCTGGTGCTCGCGCAGCTCCTCCTCCGTCTCCTCGGGGTGGCTCTCGGGCTGCCGGGCCGGCTCGCTCTGTTTGGGGATAATCTGTAAGGCAGAGGTAAGGGATGAGGGGCACGGAGGCGACGGGACGGCACGGGGGCCTCTCAAGCTCCGTGTCTCAGAGCGGAGGGACGGACGACCCAGGGCGGCGCTGCCGGGCCCGAGCTGGAGCCAGCAGACGCTGCTCGTCCCCCCAGCGCCCGCGTGCCAAGCACAGAGACGGGGAGTGAAGGTCACAGGGGTCAAGCCAGGCACCGGGGGACTGGCGCTGTGGCTTTGAACATGACCATCTCCAAAGCCCCTGATGAGGCCCCTGTGGGACAACTGCGTGTGTGGGGAACGTTCTGTTTCCAGAAGGGAAGAGGTTTTCGAGGACGTCTAACACGCTTCAGCCCCTGCGTGTTTGTTCTCGAGCCCTGCTGCCCGCTTGCCTCATCACCCGCGCCACCACGTCGCCTGTCTGAGCGACAAAGGGTCACACTTGCGGGACGCCTGTGTGCGCGCGTCAGTGTTCCGTCTGCATGTCCCCAGGGCTCCGCCGTACCAGCAGGACGCGGGGCCCAGCCTGGGGACAGTGGGCCGTAGACCCGCACACGAAGGGTGCAGCCCCTTGGGCACTGGCCGTGCCTTCTGTAGGAAAATAGAGCTTAGCCGTGTGGGGACTTATTTTTTATGATTAGCCCTTATGTCGCTACAACAGGTGTTTTAAAGGAAGAAACAGTGGACGCTGGAGAGGCCGAGGAGAGGCCGGGGGGCCGGGGGCGCTGCCCTGTGGAGGGGCCCCCGCTCCGGGAGGAGGCCGTGCAGCAACAGGCCTGGCCGGGGCAGCCTTGCTCTGCGGAGAGGGCCGTGGGAGGGTGTGCGCCGGGTGGGGGCGGGGATGGGGGGCCCACGGTGGGGGGGGGGCGCCGTGCCTGCTCCCGAGGGGCCTCGCTCTGACAGAGCCCCAGCCTCTCCTCGGGGTGGACGCCGCGAGAGAAGTGACTGAGGGCGGGGGCCAGCCAGGGCTCTCCAGGGCTTCCCCTGAGGAATCCGAGTTGTGGCAAATCGAGAGTGCTGTCACACAGGAGGCGACAGAAATGTCCCAACCCAGTTTCTTCCAGTGTTTTTCTTTCAAATTTCACAATTTCATAAAAGTTTCAAGGACGAGAAGGAAGGCTGTGTGCCCCTCACAGAGATGCATGATGGTGGACGGAGACGCTGAGGCAGGGGCTGGCCTTCCCTTCTGCCCACAGGAGGGCTGGCTGGGCCGCAGGGGCCACCCCAGCGGACGCGCTCTGTGCCCGACCAAGGAATCACCGCCTTGGGAACTTGGGGATAAAATGAGTCTCGGCACACATACTCACGTGCCCTCAGGTGCGCCGCTAACGGGGACAATGGCCTCGGGGCTGACCAGTCACCTTGTAAAAGGGCCCTGGACGTGGAGGGGTTGCTCCCTCAGGAGGGACCCAGGCGGGGCGCGGGGAGGGCGCAGACGGTGCCGGCACCCCTTGGCGGGAGTGCCTGTCCCATCACCGTGGCGGCGGCTCATCGGCTGTTGGGGTGCGCGGGAGGCTTTCTCTGTGGGCAAGGTGCTGGCTGCCCGCTGAGCTCAGCCCACCTCCCGTGAGCCGCCTTCTCCTTCTTTCTGAGAAGGACGCTGGGACGGTTTAGGCTGAATGTGTAAAAGGCCCTGACGGTTCTGTTTAATGCCCTGTAGCGCCCTCTCCTTCCTCTTGTGGGTCAGCCTGGGAGTGTGGGTCCCCCTCTTCCTCCTCCAACTTCACCCTCCGGGGAGCTCCCTGAGGCCCATATGTCCACAGCCCTCAGAGGGCACAGTCAGAGGGTGAAGCTCGGACCCACCTCCTCCCAGGGCCGGGAGGCAGGGTGTCCAGGGATGGACCCGCCTGCTCCCGGGGAGGGGAGGGGGGTCCAGGGCTTCATCTCTGGTTTTCTCGCTTCCTTGGGAAATGGGGGCATCTGAGCAGAGACCTCCAGGCCCCACCTGAGGAGTTAAGACTTCCTGGCTTCACAAGAGACAGCCCGGCTCCACGAAGGATTCCTAGAGGCCGGAACGTGCGGCCCACTGTCCTGGGGAGCTCTGGGCAGGGACAGGGCCCACTGTCCTGGGGAGCTCTGGGCAGGGACAGGGCCCACTGTCCTGGTGAGCTCTGGGCAGGGACGGGGCACAGGCACCTGAGCTGCCACCAACTCCCTGGGGCGCAGTTCACACCCCAAGGTGCAGAGAGGCTCCCGAGGGCGGCCTCGGCCTCACAGGCTGCTGTGCAGAGGGAGTAGGGGAGGGACGTGACCACAGCTGCGGCCTCCCTGTGATGCAGGGGGCTTGTGCGACCAGCCTCCTTGGGCCACGGCCATGGACAGCGGCCTGTCACTGACTTCGAAATGCAGCTGTGGCGTCGCCGGCCGGGCCGTGGGCAGGCGGCGCAGTGGAGCCGGCTTCCAGGGTGAGTGCGCTGGCGGAACTTTCAGTGACATACAAACCAGCCACGTCCTGTGACACCCTCCAGGCCTCAGCAGCCCCTTCCCCCGACAGAGTGAGAAGAAATGCAGGTCCGTGTCTGGAGCAGGGCCCTCCCTGAAGCCAGACTGCACACAGGCCAGTCCTGAGAGACTATGCTGGCTGTGCTCCCAGCCGGACCACCCAGATCAACAACCCGGCTCTCAGGGTCACAGCCGAGAGGCGGAGGTGAATGGAATGTCACGGTGAGGCACACAGCCCGACCCACGGGGCCACGGGACTCAAGCCCTGACAGGAACGGCCTCCCCCAGCAAAGCCTGTCCTGCGGGGCCACAGGCGCAGGAGCGCTCCGTCCCCGGGGTGTGTGTGTGTGTGTGTGCCTGCCACACTTACCACGCCATCCACCAGACCCCCCTGAGGGCACATCCACACCCGAGGCTCCGCCACCCACTGGTGGCACACATTCTCCAGAAAGGTCCTCCACCAGGCGGACCTTTATGAGATACCACCGCACGAGGCACCTGACACTAACAACTGATGCCACCACAGCCAGAGAGCCCGGTGTTCATGCCAACCTCGGGCCAAAGCCGGTGAGCACAGCCGGCTCCTGGGGCCGTCTTTCCTGCTCTCAGAGGCTTCGTGGCCCAGTGATTTGGGGTCCGTGGCGGCCCAGTGGGACAGTTCTTGTGGCTGGGGACCCTGGGAAAACCGAAGCAGCTGTGCATGGCTGCTCTCCCGAAGCGGGGTTGGGGGGGGGCGTCAGTGAAGCGAATACACTCTGAGGCAGGGACTGAACGAGCCGCAGACCACACAGGAAACGGCTGTGACCCCTGACGCAGCCTGAGCAGGGCTGCGGGCCAGGAGGCCTCAGAGCTGCCGGGAGCTGGGCCCACGCACCCTCAGGTAAGGAGCCCCTTAGGGACATCATCCCCTAGATGAACGGCAGAAATACGGTGTCAGACGGCACCAGGTAACGTCATTGGCTCCTTAAGATCCCAGGAGAACGCTGTATAAACATTTCAATCAACTGTCGTTCATGCTCGTAATCAATCATGTAACAGAGTCTAGGGAGATTACCCAGTTTCTAAATCATTCTTTTCGAAACTATACCAGGAATGAATAGGTGTTTCCCGTCTTCCTCACACCTCCTACCCTGTCAGTCAGACAGTGACACGATAAAATTAAGAAGCCACAGTTGGCACTAGGGAGATGCTCATCAAGTGAGTTTTACACCTGGGAGCACAGACTGCCAGTCCCCGCCTCGCCCACAGGAAGCGCCTCTCCTGCGCAGGGGAGGGTGCTGGGGACCCCGTGCGCTCCGGGGTGGGCCTGCGTCGGGTGCTGGCCATTCAGGAGCAGGGTGCCGGAGCCGTCGCCGTGAGTGCGTCCCCATGGCCCCGCATGCAGGTGGCCATCGGCCGCCATCTTCAAGGAGCGCTGCTTGTTTCCCGGTTTTAAGGACCAGCAGCGCGGCACCAAACTCCCCTGCTGTTTCCTGCTCAAAACCAGCTTTGGGAGGGGCCTTCGGGGCAGGACGGCATGCAGACCCACGGGGGCTGCAGGGCGCAGGCTCCAGGGACAGGACTTGCCACGACACGTCCCCGGGGCTCCAGAAGGCGGGGACTCTGCGCCATGGATCTGCTTCCAGAGAAGGGGCCCTCAGGGCGGCCGCGACCCTGCCCGCCGCGCAGGCTCAGACCCACCTTGTTCATGTGCAGCTGCTGCTGGAACTGCTGCTTGTGCTTCTCCAGGAACTGCTGGTGCTGCTGCTGGATGACCAGGTGCTGCAGCGCAGGCGCGTTCTGCGGCAGCGGGGCCGACTGCGTGCGCCCCAGCGGGCGGTGCTGCCGCAGCTTGTGCACCGACGGTGACACACGCTCCGCGCCCACCAGCGCCTGCGCGTGCAGGGGCAGTGCGCCCAGGCCTGAAAGACACCGCCGGAGGTGACGCGGGGGCGGGCGAAGGGCTGGTGGGTCCCCCCCGCCCCGCTCCACCCTGGAGCCCAGGGCGCACGCTGCCGGGAGCCACCGGCCGGCACGGGCTTGGGTGACACAGCACCGTGCGGGGGGTTCCGGGTCACAGGCTCCAGAGTAGCTGGTCCGCCCGGGGCAGGCCAGGGCCCTAGAAGGGCTGGGTTTGGTCTGAGCAGCATCGCGGGCAGTCGGAGCGGCTCATGCCACGCAGACAACGGCTGGGGAGGTCCTGGTGGCCCGGCATGTTCTGGAAGGCCATGGAGATGGCTCTTCCCCTAAGTGACCCAGAAACCAGGTTGTAAGGGGGGAAAACATATCCTTAGGGACCAAATCCTTTAAAGGTCTCTATAAGCCCTGACCTTATTCAAAAAGGGAGCATTAACACCTGTCAAAATCCTGACAGTATGGTCAGAACCTTCCATGAATTTCTGCAAAGGCCCTGCCTACCTCCGTGCCCACCAGCTGCTTCCCCTGCACCCACACCTGGGCTGAGTGTTCAAGAATCTGGATGGATATGTGATCCTGTTTGAATCTGCATTCGAATCTTGTTCTAAAATGCACCCCTGCAGGGGGCACGCTGTGTGCCAAACCTCTTTCCTTCTGTAAGCATTCCATCCGCCTATACTTTCTCTTCTGCAAGTTGTGGGCTGAGGCAGTTGACTGTTTTCCTGGGCTTCTCTGGGCAAAGGTGTCTCACAAACCCTCCTCTGCTACCTGTGTGCTGCCCCAGCAGCCCGAGCTGGATGGACACTGACCCACAAGGCTCAGGCTACATGAACACGACGCGGGTCAGGGGCGTCTTCCTGGGAGGAAGAGCACCTGCCCGGCCCTCAGCAGCTGCCGCCTCCCTGGAAGCAGGGCCCCGGAACTGCTAGAGTTGCCCCCTGACAGGCGTGCGTGCCTGCCCATCTTCCCCCATGACCCCCGGGGGGCACTGCGGCCTTCGTGTCTCCCTTGTCCCTTCGTGGGTCGGGGATTCCAAAATTACCACCACAATTTTGCATGCATACAGAAAGAGCACACGCCAAGGAGAAGTTCAACCCTCGCAAAATCGTCCCTCATCATCTTTTCAAGATGTCAGCCAACTACAGTCCCCCTAAACGCCATCACCTTCCGTCCAGCTGTTTCCTGGGAGAAGTTATGTTAAATCCCATTATCTGCCTGGCTGCTAAGTTAAAGTTAGTAACTCAAAAGCTAGACTTATTCCCTCTCAAGTTTTCTAAAGAACTATGGAAAAAAAAAACCAAACCAACAAAAACCCATCATTCTAAGGTTTCCTGGAATTCACCCACTGCCGACGGAGGTGTCATGAGGATGCAAATTTGGAAGCCAGTCGTATGAAGCTGCATTTATTCAAAAGTGATGCAGTCACCGAGAAGGTCCCACCTCGGCAAACGCGGAGCTAAGACAGCTGATGCCCCTCAGGCCTCAGTGGGCACCGGAACCGCAGGGCTGCCCGGGTTAGCTGGGGGCCGCCCCAGGTTCCGCAGAGAAGCTCCTCTTGGCTCTGCAGAAGGAGACCGGCTTCCAGGGCTGACAAGGGGGCAGGAACACGTTGCTCAAATGGCCCCGTGTGAATGTGAGCCTTCACATGGGGTGCGTCCTGCCCCGACACAGACCGCTGTCCCCATGGATGGAAGGTGGGAGTACCCCGTTCTGGCCTGCCCCCACTCTCTCTCTCAGCCCACCTCACTCACCCCGAAATTCCCTATGGGCCCCCTGGGGCAGGGAACTCCAGTGCTGTCTCACTCGGGGACTGGTCGCATTACAGAAAACAGACTCCTAACCCGAGTGGCAAACCACCAGTGGCCGGGTGGTTTCCAATTCAGAACCTAAAGATGACCCCTCAGGTCATTAACAAGGGGTTTTGATGACAAATCCCTATTTGGTTTTTGGTATATATCGTAAAAGACATCAATGCATAAAAACACGCTACATTGAGATCAAATTCTGTCCTGGGTGACCCAGCTGCCTGCAGAGGCCCGCTGTGCCCAGCTGGGCACCGTGCAGGGACAGAGCCCGACTTGTGTTCTGGGCAGGGAGGACTGGGCTGCTGGGGGCTTCTTTCCCTGAGCACCTGACGCTTCGTTCTTCTGCCCATAGGACTGGCGGAAGTCCCTCGGGGCTCCGGGACACAACACCTGCCTCTGGGGTTGGTCCTGAGAGAAGACTCTGCTAGGGGTGCACACCTTCCTTCCCGTGGGGCCCGGCTGGGAGGGGGCTGTGTGAGTCAGCGGCCTGAAGTCCACGTGGGACCACCTAACGGTAATCGCACGATGGTGATGGCACTGGGAATCCCCAGCACGCGCTCAGCCATCCAGGGCTGGTGAGTTTGCAGACAAAGGCACCAACTCCACGCGCCCCAGCAGGTGTGGGGGTCGAAGGGGGAGGAAGGTGAAGAGTCAGGCGTTCCTGGCCTCCTGGACCCAGATCTGAGGTGCTGGCCTTGGTGCCGCAGGGCTCTGGTGAAGTAGGTGAATTCACATTGGGGGAGCGTGGCCTGCGTCCTTAGAAACTCATTTGGGACATGCCCAGTGAAACTCTCTAAGACCCTCCAAGTGACAGTACGCCAGGCAAGGCTGAGGCCTCAGCAGGGGCGTGCAGTCCTGGCTACACGCTGGCACAGCCGGGGCAATCCCACAAGAGCAATCCCGCGCAGCAGGGGCCCGCCTGGACCAGCTGGCTTCACTGGGGCTCTGGGGGCCTGGCCACGGCCGGGGACCGAGGGCCAGGTCCCAGGTGCAGCAGCCCCAGGCGCCTCCTGGGAGACCAGGAACGGAGGGGAGCGTGGCGTCACTGCTGCAGAGGCCAGCAGCTGCCCCCATGCTCAGGAGTGCAGCCACGGGCAGACGCTCAGTCCCCTCAGCCCATGGAGGCAGCCCTGGGGAGTGAGCCCGGGGCTAGAATGACCCCACATCCACCGGGTGCAACATATGCTCCCTCCACCTGCCCTTCTCCCCTGAGTGCCCACCTCAGGCCTCAGCAGTGATGGCACTTCTGCAGGAAGCCTTCCCTGATGCCCACTCTGCTGACGGCCGAGCGTCCAGCCGACTACGGAGGCCCAGCCCGGGAGACGCGGGGCGGGAAGCCGTGCCACTCCACAGGGGGCCGCCTGGACAACACGCACGTGGCCTTCCTGCCTCGAGACGATGGTTCCGCCTCCCCCGCTGCCTCGGGAGGCCACCCAGAGACCCGGCCTCTGGCAGCATGTGGGGGCATGGCTCTTCTCAGGAGAGCGCCCGGGGCAGCGGGAAGCCAGGAGGGGCTGCCACACGGAGGTGGGACACCCCACGGCCCCGCTCGGCCGTGGGAATGGCCCTGGCACCTGCACCTCGTCACCCTCTGGACCCGGGCTTCTGCCTGCACAGCGCTCGCGGGACACAGCTGTGCTGGCTCAGACGACCTGTGTGTCCATCTGCCACCGGCACTCCCGGAAAAGCAGGGCCGCTGGCGGGTGAGCCTGGGGGACTGTCCCTGGTCCTGCTCAGACACAGGCCTCCTCAGGAACCCCGAGTCTCCCTCGCTGCAGGCGCACTGACCGCTACGGGGGCCAGGAGAGAGGGGCGATGCCATGGAAGTGCAGGCCGTCCTCCGGCAGGGGAGGGGAGAGGAGGGGAGCGGGAGGGGAGCGAGAGCAAAGCGAGGCTGAGGAGAGCACATGGGAGGGGAGGGCCCACGTCTGGCAGGGGCAGGGACCAGGCCTTGGGGCAGCCAGCTTGTGGGCAGGGCCTCCTGGGGAACGGGCGGCCCCCTCTGGAGAGTGTGCCGCAGCTCTGTGCGCCGCACAGGAAGCAGAGGGCTCGCCCCTGTGCCCGCTGGCAGCCAGGCCGTGAGGGCCGGCACTGCCTGACAGGCTTTCCTGCGGGGACACAAACGTCCCACCCTCACGTGACCCGCCAGCCACCAGCCACACAGGCAGCCACTGTGTCCCATGTGGGACGGAGAAACCAGAAGTGTGCTTTGTTTCTGGGTCTTACTTTCACTTTAAACGTTAGCGGCCACTTGTGGCCAGTGCTCCTGCTCAGGAGGCACTGCTGTGGGCAGAGGGGGCTTCTCAGGCGCCGGGGGGCAGGGAACCCGGGCAGGAGGCATCTTCTCACGGGTGGAGCGTGATCCCACAGACACCCGAACCAGGGCCAAGTTCACGGGGAGGGGGTGGGGAAGGGGCCACAAGAACTGGGAAGGACCGACTGCGCAGACTGGGGGAGGTGAGGCAGACCGCAACGTTGAATGTTACAAACGGTAACACCAAAAGCGACCACCACAACCACACGCCCTACACCTGAAGGTCACATGATGTCCTGCCCTAACACACACCTCATCGAGCCCTTAAAAAAAGTCAGCGAGGCAGATCCTTGCATTATCCCTCTTTCACGTTCGGGGATACTGAGGCACGGCACAAGGGAAGACTTCCTGGGTCACTGAGCTGGGATGAAGTGGAGATGAGGGGGCCTGTGCCCTTGGCCACGGCCCTGCCTCCAGCACTCGCAGCGCATGTCCAGGAGCTGGGGGAGGAGGGGAGGGGGCGCTGCACCCTCGGGGCGGGAAGGGCAGGTGCTCACAGGTGCCCGATGAGGAGGCGTGCCCCAGCCAGTCTCACTGCCACAGGCAAGCCGCCTGCAGCTGCTGTCACAGGAAGGGCGACCAGACCACACACAAAGGGCAGAAGCAGCAATGTGGCCAACCACGAAGGAGTCAAGTTCAGTAAGTTTATCAGAGAGGTGAGGTTTACGCAAGACTGTCATTCAGGTCCTGTGGGAAAAGACTACTTCCCACAGTCAGTGGAGCAGCCAACTCTTGATCCCAGGGCTGTGAGTTCAAGCCCCATGCTGGGCATGGAGCCTACTAAAAAACAAAAAAGGGTACTTTGCAGGAAGCTCAGGGACGTGGCAGGAAGAATGCTCTTTAATGGTGGGTGACGAGCAGACAATCAGGGACCCGGGGTCACAAGGAGGATCAGGTGTAGGTTTACTGAAATGACACAGGACAGAAACTGAGGCATCCCGCACTGCTCAGGACCCTGACCCCAGACTCTGGGTGACACACAGACACAGGTGCAACTTCAGAAGGAACCTTCGAGCCCTTGTGCTCATGATTCACCACCTGAAAGGCGGGGACGTGCCGGGCAACGCTTCTGCTCCCCCTCCACTCTGAAGAGGGAGGTGACCCCAAATTCAAGCATCGGGGGAAGGAGACAGACAGACAGACACACAGGAGCAGCGGTGGAAGATGGAGCTCGCCATCCACGGGACACACCCCGAGGGCAGGATGCAGCCCCTCGCGCCCGGACCAGCCCACAGCTCTGCAGGGCCGAGTGCTTGAGAAAGACAGGCGAGCACAAAACAAGTTCACGTGACCGGGCCCCGCGTGCCCACAGGTTGGGACTCTGACCCGCTCGGCACCTGTGTTTCCCACCAAAGCGTCAAGGACTGAAAAAAGGCGCGGCTCTGGGATCATTTTAGATGAAAGTCGTGAACACATCAGCACACGTCCAGGGAGCCCAGCGTGAGGCCGGGGACAGGACATAAGGCAGATCCCGCCCCCTCGTCCCTCCCCAAGTAACAGTGCCCTTGCCACGCAACCTCTGGCCACATTTCCTGTTTGTTTCCTAAGTGTGGGTATCCCTCAAGCAGGGCACAGAACGGACATTTCTGCCACCAGTGGGAACCGACCATCTACCAGAGTCCACTGTGTGCTTTTCTCTCACTTCACCTCGACCCGGATGAAAAAGCGCGGGGAGAAGCCACCTTTCCGGATAGCTCCCAGGAGGTTTAAGTGATGCGTGCTTTTACAGTCTACCTCGTGGGAGAGGCTGTGGCCAGGATGCAGGGTGCAGCCCCCCCAACCCCACTGGGCCCCGAGGACTGGGCTCACCTGCCACGAGGGGTGTCTGCGCGGGCGGCTGCTCCAGTAAGACCATGTGCTGCAGCAGCGGGCTGTGAGCCGCTCCGCCGTCCCGCTCCAGGGGCGCCGAGCTCAGGTAGGGGGGGAGGTGCGTGCCGGGGAAGAGGGAGATCCGCTGCTGGAGGGTGGGGAGAGCGAGCCTCTCGGCTTCCTGCGGGCCTGCCGTCCCCTGGAGAGGCACAGCCGTGACGCCCAGGGCGAGGGCCCGAGACAGCCGCTGCCCCCCGCCCCCCGCCCCCCGCCCCCCAGACCCGCCGACACCAACTCACAGCGGAAGGGCCGGTGGCGGGCAGTCCCAGCGTGATGTTGGGCAGGGATGGCGACGTGTAGAGGGGGAGCGGGGCCACGGAGCCTTCTCGAGTCACGAGCCTGTGGGCCAGGCTGGTCTGCAGACAGAGCACATGACAGCCGTCACACGGTATGCCAGTGACAAGCGTGGGCAACACACACCACGAGAAACAGCAAGGGACAGTGCCTCAGGGTGGGCCTCACTGAGCCCGGAGATGCAACCGCACGGAAACAGAGCAGCGGTTACAGCACAAAGGCGGCATAAACTTTTATAGAGGTCACAAGCCTTGATACGTGGATTCACGACCCACCAGGCTCTGGTTTTTATCCACATTGCTTAATCATCATAGAACATCGCAGGTAATGTACCAAAAACACGTTGTTGGTTGGGAATGTCACTTTAAATACAACATCAGAGGCAGAAACCAAAGAAAATACTGATTACAAAAAAATCCCCTTTGGGTGTCTGAGGGCCTCAGCCTGTTGCGCACCCAACTATTTGATTTTGGCTCAGGTCATGATGGCAGCACGGTTGTGACATCAAGCCCCGCTTCGCGCTCCGCACTGAGCCTGTTTAAGATTCTCTCTCTCCCCCTCTCTCCACCCCTCCTCCCTAAAAAAATCCCCTCAGGGAAAAGGCAATGGTCACAGCAATATGGGCAACATGTAGGACACAGAAAGGTGAAAACATAAAGAGATCACAAATCAAATAATAATTAGCAAAAAGTGCTCGTCAAAGGCAAATGACAAAGAGCTAACATTAAGGCAGAACAAACTCCTGAAAAAACTACTCAAAATCATCAGTAATCTAAAAACATATTTAAATACCTATCAAGTTGGCAAAGGTTTTTAAAACCGAGAATACTCTCTTGGCCCTGCTGGCAGGTTATCAACTGGCGCACTCTTTCTGCAGGAAAACTTGGCAATCTGTGTCAAAAGCCTTAGAAACGTATCTAACGTTTGATCCTAAAACTCCACTCTTCGGACGGCTCTTAGGAAACGATGCCGGGTGCAACCAGACGGTCCCAGGAATGTCGTGGCCGCGGCACCCACAGCGGGGAAGGGCAGCGTGTCCAACAGTGAGTCCTGGGTGCAGTAAGTGAAGGCACACTTAGGCGCCAGGGCCCTGGGAGGCGGGAAAAACCTTCTGGATTGGTTGGGATCACACTGATGATGTGCTGTGAGGCTGGAAAAACAAGTCACAGAATCGTCTGCTCTTCAGAGGCAGATGGTGAAGGCTGGAAAGACAGACGGGGCAGCGGGAGCATTCTCTGAGGATCTGAATTACTGTGTCATTTCACACCTTTTTGCTTCTAAAAAGAACATTCTTTCCTACGAAGGACACTGTTTTGTTTGCCACGACATCCCCTGTGGAGTAGGTGCTCGGCCAACGTGCCGCACCACGGAGCAGGCACACAAGGAACGGAGGACGTCACCACCAGGCTGGCGAGCAGGGTTTGGCAGACGGACTCAGCGTAACGGAAAAATCACAGGAGGGACGGATGTGCGACCAGGGTCCTCTCGGTCCCTCCTGCAGTGGGGCACGTAACTGACGGCGGGGAACCCTGGCGGCCGGAGAATGTCGCATCCAAGGGGAAAGCGATCGTCAGGTGGCCGGACACAGGACTGCACTGTGTGCGTCCCGGCGAGGAAACAGCCTGCTCATCCTGGCTGGGGAGCAGAGCGCCCCAGGCTCGCCTCGAAGACGCGGGCATGGTCCCAGACACCACGGCAAGGCCAGTCCGGTGAGCTCACCGGTCTCCCGGTGCAGGTGAAAGTTGTGTTCACGCGACAGACACTGCAGCGTGTCAGGTGTGCAACGGCAGTGTGTCTCCAGAAATGTACAGACTTTAATTAAAACATATTTTACTGCGAAACAATGCTAACCATCAACTGAGCGCTCAGTGAGTCCTTCTGCTGGAGGTGGGTCCTGCCTCAAAGCTTAAGGCCGATGGCTGGTCAAGGTGACGATAGTGACAGTTTCCTAAATTACTCAACAACGAGGTTGCTTTGCTGCATCAAGTGACTCTTCCTTTCACGGATGATTTGTCTGGAGTGAGCAATGCTGTTTGCTGCCATTCTACCCACGGTGGGGGTTCCTGTAAGACTGGTGCGTCCTCTCAACCAGCCGCTGCTTCATCAACCCAGTGTACGCACCTTCCAAATCCTTTGTGGTCACGTCAGCAGTCTTCACGGCATGGTCACCAGCAGCAGATTCCATCTCGGGAAACCACTTTCTTATCTCGGCCCTAAGAAGCAACCCCTCATCCGTTCCAGATGTCCCCCAAGATCGCAGCCAGGCGTTCAGTCCCGTCTTCGCGCTCCGCTTGTCATTCTGGGTCTCCTGTGTTCCCACCCCATCTGCAGTGACCTCCCCCACGGAGGGCTGGCACCTTCAGTTTGTAAGGACGACATCTGTGAAGCATGAAAAAGAGACGTGTGCCCGTACCACCTCACAGCGAGCGTGCAAATATCTGTACCGTGCAGGATTCCTGATCGCTGTTTAACATGCTCATGCTTCAGCGCCCTCTGGAAACACACACTTTATAGTCTGTTCGGACGCCATAAGCACAAAACAGGAAGTAAGTGTTCTCCGTGCGGGAGCGCCTGGAAGATCCAGTCCTGGAGAACTGTGGGCCGGGGGCAGCTTGCTCCCCGTGACGCTGCAGTCACGAGCCAACGACCACCGTGGAAAGCACGCTCCCCAGACAGAAAAATTGTTGGTCACCAGTAAAAGGAACACCGAGAAGCCGTGCCGAGGAGGACGTGATGGAGACCGCCAGGAAAGCACGTTCCGCGGGATGGTAATTACCCAGGGACGGAATGAGCAAACATCCTAATGTCTGCAAAGTTGTAATTTCCTCTATAATCACTCTATTTTTTTTTTTTTTTTTTTTTTTTTTACCTAATTTATTTTTAGAAATTACGCAGCCTTCTTAGAGCTGCTCGGGGGCTGACTGCCGCGGGTGCGGCACTGGCGGTCTCCATCCACCAGGCAGCAGGCTCATCAGCTCCCACGCGCTCCGCGCAGAATAGGGGCCCAGCCGCACGCCCCGCATCGCGCTGGGCCTCCTGGGCTGGAGGGAGCTGCCGTCTCCAGGTGCGGGGAGCCTGCTTCCTGTGTACAGGGTGCAGAGCTTGTCGGGTCCCCAGGGCCTGGCAAGGCAGTGGTGAAAGCAGGCGCAGAAAGCGCCCCTGCGTCCCCTCCCTCAAGGGCCCACATCGCCTGACGCCCGAGGAGGAGCAGCCAGCTCGGGGTGTCACAAGGCCTGCGAGCTCTCAGATGTCAAGTTCCTACGCCTGAACCCAGAGGTGCCTGAGGTGGGGCCTGTGCAGCCTGCCCACCACAGGGCAGTAACCAGGATGGCCCTGTGCACACTTCTGGTCACGTTGGCTCTTTCCTACCTACTGGTCGGCAGCAACTTAACGGACACGAACACGTGACTTGTAGAAACGACCATGTAATTTAAACCGGACCACAGAGAGCCACCCCCACGAGGCAGCACAGAATGAACAGGGTTTGTGCCACCCAAACTCGGCAGCAGCAGGCGGTCAGGACCGACCACCCCCCCGCGGCAGGGGACTGTCCTGGCACAGAGCGGGTCTCAGGCCAAGTCCTGGGGCAAAGACAGAAGACCTCAGCAAGGACCTCGGACTCGCAGCGCAGGGGTGAGAAGCTGTGATGACCTGAGGGTACGTAATGGACAGGAGGAGACCGGGGGGTGGGTGGGTGGGTGGGTGTCTGTGTGTGTGCGCGCGCGCGCAGAGGGGCCAGCGCTAATCTGCCGCGTGCTTGTGCGCACAAGTGTCATCAACAGACGACGAGCTCAGCCTTGGCGCCTGTGCACCCCAAGTGAGGTCCGTCAACCTTGCGCAGGGGGAGGACTCGCTCCTAAACATTTAGGTGGAAAGTGAAGGGACTACCCTTACAGCTCCTGTAAGTTAGCAGGGCTCCAGCAGAACTCAGAAAGACCCCCGTGCAGCGGGGCCGTCCCCGACATGAGGCACACAGCCCTTCGGGCTCCTCTGTTCACCGAAAACTCCGTGCCAAGCGGCCCCGGCACAGGCACCCCCAGCCCGTGGCCTCGCTCAGCAAGCCTGAAATTCCCCTGTTCTTCCTGGGAACCGGCTGGAGCCTGCCGCTTCTGGCCTCTGTCCCCAGGGCCCGGTGCAGGGCTGGCCCGCGGTGGGAGCTCCAGGGACGCTTGTGCACTAAACAGATGGAACAAGGTGAACAAGGTACAAAAAGGGTGCATGGAAGGAAGGTCCTGGAAACTACTGCCCGGAAAGTCATCCAGGTCTGGTCAAGGGCAAAACCGGCAGCCAGCCCCGAGCCCCTCACCTCCCCTGGAGCACCCTCCCTCGCCAAGTGATTCCAGAACCCTCTCTGTGCCCATGCCCCTCTCCACTGCGGCGCAGCTGGGGGAGGGGGACTGACTGTGTGTCTGAGGCTGGTGGTTCAGACGCCTCTGAAATGCCGGCTCCGCTGTCCTTAACCATCCGCCCGTGTCACTCCGCTACCCCCCTCTCCCCGCCATGACACACAGATGTGTGTTTGTTGGCTGATATTTTAATCTGTGTGTTTCTAAACCACGACAGATACTTTGGCCTCCTTCCAACGACGGTTCCTATGCGTTCCCTTCCCGGCCGCCGTGCAGAGCCCGGGGACACACAGCAGCGAGGCACGCGGGACCCACCGGCCCAGGCGTGCACTACGAAACGACCAAATAAAACCTGCTCTGCGCGAGGCGGGGAGGAAAGGCTGGGTTTGCAGCTGCTCTCACGTCTGGACCGCTGGGCTCACACTGACAGGAGAAGCAGCAGTCAGCGGCAGGAAGGCGGGATGAAGTCCCAACGGTGCCCCGTCCAGAGTGCCTCCCGACCTCAATGGTTCAGGCTGAGGGGTACCTGCAAACCTCGGTCGCCTCAAGGAAACCAGCTGTCTGAATGCACTGTGGGGCCGGTGCAGGGAACAGAAAGGAACGGAAAGCCCGCACTGACCTCGGCGGGGATGCTGGCGACGGCGGGCGCGATCCCGTTCTCGGTGCTGACGTTCCCGGAGCTATTGTTGGGCGAGCTGGGCGCGGAGCCCGGGGCGCTGCTGCAGGCCGAGTCTGTGGGGCGGAGAGACACTGGTGAGCCGCGGCGCGCGCAGAGGCTCTGGGCAAGGCCGCGGCACGTGCTCACTGGGCCTGGCGCCCAGGGCCTCCTGGGGGCTCTTGCCTTCCGCCTGCTGACTGACTGGCACGTGTCACATCATGAAAACAACATGACCGCGGTCCCCAAACGGGGACTGTGAGGCTAAGTCCCTATTTTCAGTTCTGCTACTGACTTCCTTGCAAACCCTGCAAACGTACGGCTCTGCGGAGGCCCCACCTGAGCCTTTCAAGCAGTGCACGTTACCCATTTTATTCCTCTTGAATTTGGAGACGATCCTAAACACCAAAAAGATAAGCCCTTGAACACTCAGCAGTAACCTAACCGCAGAGGACCAGGAACCACGGAAGCCAAGGGACTCTGAACAGCGAGAGGGCAGAGTTCCTGTGCTCGCGAACAGGCCTCAGGCCACGGGCTCCTCCGGAAGGAAAGCCTCTCGTTTTTCCTGTGTGACATCAGACGCCCGGGGAAAGTGCTGCCCGGGGCTCCCGTGACTGACCAGTGTTTACCTGAAATCACACGCTGGTTTATCCTCCGAGTAGCTTTAAAGGTAGACGCGGAGCTGCCCTGCTGATCGGGACTGGGCTCCACGGCGACCTCCCCACGACCGGTCCCCCTCCTCACTGCCACGGGAGCCGCGGGGACACCGGTGTCTGTGGGAGGGTCTGTGGCTCTATGTTCTGGTGTTATGGGCATCTTAACGACGGCGTCACCATGGACTGTGACCCCTGTGGTCCCTGGTCTCTTGATGGAGCAGCTGTCAGCCCAGCAACACCCGCTCGGGCTTGTGGCGGCAGCCCGGCCACGGGCCGTCCCGGACAGTGACAACCTGCAGTCATGGCCCCTCGTACTTCAGGGACTGGGAACCACAGAGAAGGGCCCGGGGGAGGAACCGCTACAGCTTGTGCACAAGACAGAGCCGCCTCCTCGCCGCCGGCAGCCGCCTGGCCCTCGGGTGCGGTCCCCGGGGCCCTGCCGTGGACGCCTTCCTGCTGCTCCTGTCCCAGGCCACGCGCTGGGTTCCACCGACTTCCTGCCAATGTGTGTCCCCGCAGGGTCACCAGACACACCCCCCCGTGAGAGTGTGTGAGAAGCTGGGGCAATAAAAATGCACGTCCAGCTCTTCACCCGTTTCCAACCCAACGACACTGACTATTTTTCACTGCGGCTCCAGGAGAGTGGGGTAGGACACGGACACGAGTGTGTAACCGTGGTACTCGCAACAACACAGGGGGGCACTGTGTGGCACGGGCTCGGCGGCGGGACGGGCAGGCAGAAGAAAGGCTGGAAGGAGACACGCCCCACGGCGAGCAGCAGCGACTCCCGCTCACCCGCCACCTCTGCTCCTGCCGCACACGCGCAGCTTTAACCAACCACTGGGGAGGTGAGGCCCGGCCCTGCGCCCACGGGGCCCCTAGGCCCCCTGCCCACCGTCCGTACACGTCGGTGGGCCCGCTTCTGCACCACCACACTCCCCTGCAGCAGAGCCCGCACCACCTTCCTCTAACTCCTCATTCTCCTGACTTCCGGAGCGTCGGCTCCACCCTGCCTGCCTGTGAGGCCCGGAAGCCGGTCTCCTCTCCTCTCTCTGCCAGCTGCACCTCTCCGCCAAGCACGCCCGGCCTTGCCTGCCCCTGGGCTCCTCCGCGTGTGCTCTGGATGTAGCACAACCCGGTCCCCGTCAGCTGGGGCGGGCACCGTCTGGTCTCTCAAATTAGACGCTGAGCTCTGCAGAGGCGAGGACCTGTGTCCCCGCTTTGACATGCAGCCTGGTGCCGCTCACAATGGCCTGAAAGCACCACGGGCTGACCACGTGAACGTGAGCACCGAGGCGCAGGAAGCAGCCTGCCCACGACTCCGCCTCACCGGGAGCGGGGCCAGATACACGGCATGGGTACCACGGGCCCCACGCCGGGCCCCCCTCAGAGGAAGCAGAGCTGCACCTCTGTTTAGATGGGTCCTAACTCACGACTTCGAATGGCATCCCCCCGCCGGCGAGCCTTTGGGCCTCAGTGACAACACTCGTGTGATGAGGCCTGTGTGTGGCGGACGCACCCGGCACAGAGCCCCAGGCCCACACGGGACGAGCATACTCTTTCCCACACAAACACTCAGAGGCAGGCGCTTACGTTAGGGGTTTCTGCCTGGCTCATGGGTCCCGGAGCGCAGCAGGTCAGGGCAGGAGAGGACCACAAAGCTCTCCCCTGCACTCAGAAGCGCTGGATCCGTGTGTGTGGCGCTGGCCACTAACATGGGGCCCACCCAGGGACCCCCTCCGGACACCACTACCCGGAGCTTGGGTTCTCCGATGAGGCACCTTGCTTTCTACAAACACGGCTCCTCCCTGCCTCGTTCCCAAGCCACCTGAGAGCAGCTCCTTTCTCCGGGTGATTTCAGGAAGGTGGCTGCGCGCCCACAGGAAGGAGGACACACGCTCTGGGCTGGGGGCTGCCCCCAGAACAGAGGCTGTGCTCTTCGGACAGGTGCACCTCCAGGCAGTGCATCCTCAGGGTGGGACACACCCCAGTGAATCGGGATGCACCCTGGGGAGCGGAGGGGGCCTCCTGAAAGTGGGGTGCACCCTTGCAGTGGGGGCATCTCAGGAAGTGCGGAGCATCCTGAGGAAGGAGGGCGCCCCTCAGGCCCGGGCTCCGCCGAGGGCGTACTTCTGCATGTCCACCACTAGGTGGGGGGCGAGAGCAACGCTCGCCAGGAAAGTGGAAACCGGGGCTTCAGTCCTCTCCCCCTCCCAGCTGCGGGACTCCTGCCAGGAAGATTTCAATGTTGCCTGTGGCCCAGACAGTGTCACGGGCGGTGAGCAGGTCAGAACCACGTGATTCACCACTAACAGGGCAGGATCGGGGAACCTCACCTTAAAATTCCTGAAAACACCCGGTGCAATGTCAGACGGGCCTGGGCCCGTGGATGCCACTTTCGGTGGCTGAGGCCGGCAGCAGACAGGTGGTGCAGGGCGTACTTAGACTCCCACCAGGGCACTGGCTATGGCTCTCGGACGCCCCGGGGACAAGAGTGTGTGCAGAGATGCAGGGTCTCAGAGGGGGCCCGGGAACGGCTCGCAGCGGCAGAGCCTCGCGAAGGCGCTAGCCGGGCTTCCACAACTCCCGGACGTACCTGTGACATCCAACGGACGCTTCTTTAGAGCTGTGACCACCGGCCCATCTTTTCTGCGTAACAAGGGGCTGCTCCGCCTTTCGGCCACCTTCTGCTTTAGCCTGGACCGCAATTTCAGATTGGGTTCGGAGGCTGCACAGAAAGGAGATGTCATTATAGTCAGACACTCACAACGGGGGTCAAGTTGATCTCACTGGCAGTTAAAAACTTATGTGAGTCAGGTACACATTCACGTAACGCTGCCATGCTGTCACAGAGCAGAGTGAAGGCAGGGTTCCTGAGGCCCGTGCAGCATCTTTTCTGTCCCATGCTGAAGTCCCACGTGACGCAAGAAGGCTACATGATGCCTTGGCTATGTTCCTCCGGACAGGGTTATGTATCTGTGCTTGTCATTTTGGGGCACTGACCCCCGAATGCTAATACGGCTTCTATGTTCTACACTTCCTTGTTCACCTGCCTATCAGAAATTCCCCCCACGTCTAACCACCTGGAGACAAGCTGTTTGCTGAGGGTCCCGGCTACCTCTGCAAGGGACTGCCGCGGAGTGTGAAGTGCAACCTCTGGGTAGGTGAGCGACCTTGTCTCCCTCAGAGTCTGCCAGAACACGGACACAGGTGTTTCAGCTTGGTTTCGGTCATTAACAGCTCTGTGCTTAGCAAGCCTGCAAATCTGAGCCCACATTGGTCCCCAAGCCTCTCCACCTGGGGCCCAGACCAGCCTGAGACCAGACAAGCTGCACCTCGGGGGAAGTGAGGGGCACCCTAGTGTGAGCTGCTGGGCAGAGGGTGGCCTCACCACACCCAGAGGTGCCCCATCCGGATGCCTGTGCGGGAAACGCCCCAAGGCCACCAGTGTCCAGGGCCGGGACAGGGGAAGACTGTCACTGGGAGACTTGGGGTTCTGGGGTTTTACTTGACTACCTTCAAGTTCCTACTGCTTGTGTGTTTGCATATTATCCCGTTTTTACCTTTTTGTTTGTTTGTTTTTAATCAGCACCCCTGCTGTTTTTAATCTTTCTGGAACAGGAAGTTCACTGCTCTCCAGGGTGTCGAGCAATATAATCGAATTTCCCCCTGGAATCAGAACTAAGATGGTTTTGGTTTTAGGAAGCAGGCCATGCATGCATCTCAGGGGCACTGTGACTCCGGCCCTCGGGGGGCAGGGAGGGTGGGGCAGTGGATTTGGGGACCCCACTCCCCCTGAAAGAGGCCGGGTCTGTGGGCCCTGGATGGGGGAGGGTGCAGCCTTCGAGGGTGTGGAGGTAGGGACGGGCCCTTCCAGGTGCAGCACTGGGCTTAGAGCGAGCGTCCGCTCACTTGCAGGACTTTCACGGCGAGGAAAAGCGTGAGGGGCCGGAAGATCCACTTCCGTTCCTCCCATACTTGCTCTGAGGCCGCTGCAGAGTTATGTGCTTCTCGTTCCCGCCGAGTCGGCACCGCTCGGGGACACGCGGAGGACGCCCCGCCCCCGTCCGGTTACCAGGGGAGACGACGCTCTTCTCAGGCCACCCAGGTCTTTGCTGTAAGGACACCGTCAGTCCTTTCAACAACCTTCCATCGGAGGAGGGACAGCAGGACGGCGCGGCCCCCGGGAAGGAGCTCCTCGGGACGCGGGCCACAGAGCGGCTCCCCAGGGCCCGCAGGTCACCACGTTCACAACACCTGCTCGAGTGACGGCACCGGCCAGGGCACCATGATGATGGGCAGCCACGTGCTGGCCGAGGACCCCAGGTTCCCTGTGACCTGTGGCCTGCGCCGGGCGGGCCCACCACACATGGCTGCGGTCGCTTGTCCCCAGGCCCGTGTCCCACCCTGTCCGGACCACGGGGTAGCTGTGTCTCATCACAGTGGCACCTGAAAGGATTCTGCTCATCTCTTTGCTGCCCCCCACCCGCCCCACGTGTGAACATGAAAGCCTGGCCGCTCTCAAGGACTTGCCCTGACTTGGGGGTTTCAGGAGAGCTCAGCTCAGCATGCTCCCTTCTCCCCCACAGGCCCCACCTTACGTGCAGTGCCCAGTGCAGAGCGGAAATGAGGGACACTGTGTTCAAATTGTCAAGCGTCTCATTTAAGATGAAAGCAGACATACACTGAGCGGGGTGGGCCTTGCCTGCAGCCCAGCACAAGGCGCCAGAAGGTGCTGGGCCCCTCCTCATCCCCCTGGGGCTCCCAGGGACCACCTCCCCATGGAGCCCCCAGATGCAGGACCAGGGGCTGAGCAGGCCAGGGGACCAGGCGGGAAGGGAGGCAGTCCCTTCACTGTGTAGGCTCTGGGCCGGCTTCCCCTCTGTACCACCTCCTACGCCTGCCCCAGGACCTTGGCTGAGCTGTGAAGGGCTCTGACGTGCAGCAAAGGCCCCACAGCCCGTCCTCTGCTCTGGAGAAGGCACGTTCTCCGGCAGCCGCAGGCCCAGGCTTTGAGCAAGCCCAGATGAGTTGTGCAGACCCCACAGAGCCCAGATGAGTTGTGCAGACCCCGCAGAGAAGATACGGTGACCCACAGTCCAGCTAACCCTAAGTGTAGTTCTTGAAACTTGGAGAAAACATGTAACTCAGGCAGCTGTGCCCGGCAGGCCGCCTACGAGATAGCAGATCTTGGAAACTGTACCTGCCACATGCGGGGCCACGCGACCCCCACAGGCACCTCCAGACGGTCTCTGGGGTTCTCAGAACACAGGCCAGCTCCCAACGTGAGCAGGTGGAGGGAGGACACGCCTGGATTTGTTCCTTCAAATAGAGCAGCAGGTGGACTGAGAGCCAGGGCCTGAGACAGAGGCGTCTGGGAGAAGTGGCTCACAGTCGCGTGGCACTAAGGGACAGAGGACGCGGCCTGTATCCGTGAACATGGCGCCTGCGCCTCTGGGGGACGTGGGCAGCCGGGGGCTTCCTCCTTAAAGGCAACCAGGTAAATGATGGAAGAGCAGAGCAAGCTAACCTGTTCTTACCCATCCCTTACAGAGCCCACAGCGCCTGAGTCCTGAGGGAGGCTGCCCATCGGCAGCCGGCGCTGCTGTGACTCCCACTCCTTGCTCAGACAGCTTGGGAAGGGCAGCGGCCCCAGCCCCGAGCAGGAGCTCAAGAGCCATTTATCACGTGCAATCGGCCGCAGTGTGTGGGCATCATCCCCTCCTGCCCCCGCTGCCGACCTGCACGGGGGGTTTCTGCAAACCGGCTCAGAACAAGACACAGACCGTGTGCAGCCCAAACCACAGAGGGGAGCGTCACGTACGTACGAAACACGCCCGTTCAGGGTCCTGGTAACTTCTGCCTACTCCTCACACTGACAGAGGACCAAGTGCTGGGAATGTCACTCGGTTCACCAGCACACAAGGAAAATTCGCTGGCTTGCTGGGCTGGCTTGCTGGCCGCCGAGATCACAGGTGATGCACCCGGCTCTGCACCGGCTACCAAAGGCTCTGGAGGGTCTCTGTCAGGTTGGGGGGACGTGCTGGGCCACAGGCTCCGGAACGCCTGGTGCCCAGAGGCCGGCACGACCGTGTCGGAACGGACCTGAATCCACCTGCCTTGCATTTGGGGTACAAGCCTTGCTATTCCCGAGCCTGGGCCCCCTGCCTGGCCTGGCCCCTGCACTGAGCTCAGCGCCCAGCACCCCGGGTACATGGGCAAAGGCTCAGAGTCACCGCCCTGCAGAAATCGGGGGCGAAGCGGACGCTGCCCTGCTGGTTAAGCACAGGAAATGGAGTCGCGGTGCCACTGGGCAAGGCAGTTAGCCTCAGACTCCACCCCCAGAGGTCACCGCCAGCCTAAGGAGCCGCTAGAGAACAGGAAGGCTCTCCACACCAGGCCCGCATCCCCCGGTGTCAGGGCAGCTCAGGAAGCGTGATGGGAACATGAAGTGACTCGGTGAGGTCCCTCAGGACACTCCTGTGACAGCAGCACAGGCCATCTGACCTCGGGCACTGCTTGGGTGGGCGGGGGAGGGGAGCTGGTGCTGGGCCCGCGGCCGTGTGGGCGTGACCCAGGGGGACCATGCGCTCCTGCCCAGGGAGGTCCCACCAGGCCCCACCTTCCTCCCTCTGCTCTGGAGAGAAGCGCACCCTGCTACTACCCAGCTATGGGAGGTCCCAGCCCGCGGGCCATGGGTGCTGACCCCTCCCTGCTGAGCGGAGGCACTTCCCACCCGCAGGGAGACTGCTGTTTCCCACAGCACAGAAAGCAGCTGCTGCTTCCCATATGGCTGCAAACCTGGGAGGTGCTGAGCTACATGAACCTTCTAGAAGGAAGGAGTCACTGGCTACAGAAGCAAACACAAGCTGGAAGGCGAATGTCTCCGGCCCATGGCCCAGGCTGGCTTGGGGACCATCGGGAGCTAGGAGCCCGGCCTCCCGCCCGGTCACATGGGGCTGCGGCCAGGCCTGTGGGCAGCACGGCCGCTCGACGGGGCTGATGTGGGCGGCCCCTCCCCGGGCGCCAGCCTGGTGTGCAGTACATGGCACTCAGCACTGAGGTCACGTCACGACAGGATGGGAGGGGACGGCGGATAATGGTGAAAGGCTTGGTTTCCGGGTCTCGCTTCATCATTCAGAAGTCACAGGAGAGAGCAGTTTAAGAGGCATTATAAAGAAATTGACAGCAGCTCATACCTTTAAAAATACAAACTGGGGGCACCCAGGTGGCTCAGTCAGTTAAGCATCCGACTTCGGCTCAGGTCATGATCTCACAGTCCATGAGTTCAAGCCCCATGTCAGGCTCTGTGCTGACAGCTCAGAGCCTGGAGCCTGCTTTGGATACTGTGACTCCCTCTCTCTACCCCTCCCCTGCTCACACTCTGTCTCTCTCTCTCTCTAAAATAAATAAGTATTAAAAAAAAATTACAAAGTGGAAGAAGCTATTGGAGAAAGCTACAATCTCCAAGTATCAATATGGCAAAACAGGTTTGGTTTCAGAAGCGGAGAAGCGTCCTTTGCTCAGCGTGAACATAGAACTGGGTGCTCTGATCCAAAGCAGCCCTGGCCGAGCTGCTCGATGCCCCACCAGCCTCGGGGAGGATGCGCCAACGAGCCCCAGATCAGGGCGGGGAACATCCTGCAGATGGGCTCTGGGGCAGGGAGGGGAACGATTCCGGTGCATCTTTAGCTGCCGGACTTGGAGGGTGGCTCCCTCCTCGCCTGCTCTGTGCCCCTGCACCAGAGAGAGGACCTGGACTGCCTGGTGGGAAGCAGGAACACAGGGAAGCGGGGTGGCCCCAGCTGGTGAAGAGCAACCGGGAGCCCAGAACCAGAAGGCCCGTGGGGCAAGGTGTGTCTTTCCTGCCAGACTGCCTGCCTGCAGTAGATGGCGGCCATTTCCGTGTGCCCTTCCTCCGGGGAGTCTGGAAGTGCTACCTGCTCCAGGCCAAACTGGGGGCGCTGAGGGGAGGCTCTGGGGTGGGGACAGTCTGGTGGGAACAGGCTGTGGGGCAGGGGAAGGATCCAGGGCACCCGACAGCTTGGGAGGAGAGTGGAGCGCGCACGGCCGGGCCTCCTCACAGCCGCCCTTACCCAGATCACCAGGCAGTAAGTGGGGAAGTCGGATCCGAACTCAGCCCACGGCCCCCAAAACAGGGCGAAGTCACCCCCTGAATGCGCAGGGGCATGGGTGAGTCGGTGCACTTAAAGTCTCATTTTTGTAGTTTTCCCTCCTAGCGACCCTTACAAAAATGCAGAAATATAAATTATTTAGAAACAGTGACATCAAGCATTTGGAAGATACTTTCAGAATGACACAGGACAGCTAACTACACTCTATCCCCTTAAGCGGCTTAAGCGTTTCTGCTGAAATCTTTATATTATTATTAACGTGCTAGTGATGCCTTTTTAAAATCTGGATCCCGCAACCACATCTTAATTAAGTGCTTCTGGAGGCTGTGTGCTCAGTGGCACCTCCCCAAGTGTGACAGGACAGTCTTCCTTTGTCAGCCGGGCGGGGCCTGGGGGGAAGAGGCGGCTGTGTCTTCCGGCAGGGCCAGGCCCCAGGCGAGAGGCGGGTAGCCCTGCTTGGTGGCCAGGGGCTCGGCTTTCTGCTTCTACCATCGGGACCTTGGGGGCCATGCCCGCCACACCCAGGGCAGGAGGAAGCTCAGTGTACCCACAGCGGGGAGGACACAGGGGTGCAGAGCCCCGTGTCACTGATGAGAAACTGAGGCCAAGGGAGCCTAAGGAACCCACCCTAGGGCACACAGAGCTTCAGTACCAGTGGAAAGACCGAACCGAAGCTGCTGGACGGCGGTGCCCACGACCTGCGCATGCGCTACGGGACAGGGGCGGCCCCTGCGGCTGGCTCTTCCAGGGCAGTCGGGGCCTCTCCCCCGGCCTGCTGCCCGCTGCTCCCCGTGACCGCCTGCCCTGCTGGTTTGAGTGTGGTAAGGAATAGCACCAGGCTCCAGACGGGGGCCCGGGGCCCCTGGGAGAACTGGCCCCAGCCCGACGGGGCTCTCCCGGCGAGTACGGGGATTCTCGTTAGGCGAACCCACGACTGCTCTCGGTGGACGAGTGAGAACTATGCACCCAAACTGAGAAGAGGACCCCAGGAGCACCTTCCCTGTCACCGAGAAAGGAAGCCCTGCCCGTGCCTGCAGGGTCCTCGGCTCGGCTCTGCCGACGCCTCCCACGTGCTCCTCAGGGACTCTGGGCTCCAGCCCCAGGCCCATGGCCGTCCCGTGTGGCCCCTCTGTCTCCCGCACCTGGATCACCAGTCAGGCACTACTGAGGGGGCCTCCCTGCAATTCCTGGCTCTGGACTCAGGGTCTGCTCCCTGCACGGCACATCGACTCCACGGGGGCATAGCTCTGACTACCGAGGCCCCACATCTTCCGTCTTGAGGATGGAGTGGGGGCGGGGGAGCCCTCCAGCCCCATCACCCGGGTAAAGATGCTGGTGTCATTGCCTTAAATCACAAAATCAACCAAACTCCTCTGGATAAAAGAAGACTTGTGTTTACAAAGAAAAGTTGTGCCACGAGGGCCTCATTTCCACAAGGAGGGCGCCCGGGAATTTCCCACAATGCCCTGCACCTGCAGGCTCTGCCTGCTGCGTCGGTGACCAGGGGAGCCTGAGCTGCACAGCTGGCCACAGCCTGCCCTCGCCTCTTGGGGCAAAGCCCCTGGGAGGCAGCACTCTGGCCTCTGCCCTTCCGGCCGCCCTCCTGCCCTGGCCGCGGCCACTCTGATCTTTCTGAGAAGCCACTGCCCACTCAAACCATCGCTGCTGGACAAAGTCCAAGAGCGCCCGCCTGTGTCTGAATACCCTTCTTCTTCTGGTGACAGCGCTGCGCGCACCCTGAGGCATCCTGCTGACAGGGCCTCACAGGGCACAATGAGCTCCTTTCTTGAACACATTTCCTCCCACCCTGGGACCCCCGGCCACCCCCACTGCCTGGGCCTGGCCCAGGGCCGGCGCTGAGGGCCGAACTCTTACTGGCTTGCTCTGGCAGGACCCCAGCTCCGTCAGCGGGCGCAGCCGTGTCCCCGTGCCCACCAGGGGATGCTCTGAGCTGTGACAAGTCCAGCATGCCACGGAGAGAAGGGTAGGCTGGGCTGTTGTTTGCAAAGGAGTTGAGGATTAAAAGTCAGGTGTACTTACTGAGGCTCGCTGAATTTGGTATGAATCACAAAGAAACGCTTAAGGATCATCATTTTAAAATGATGTTCTCATGATAATTTAAAAAAAGGAAATACTTGAAAATAAGTTGGGATTCCTTCTGGGCAAGTATCCCAGCCTGGCTCAGCATTGGGGGGTGTGGGAGGGGCTGGCTGGGAGCCCCGCCCCCAGGCAGAAGCAGGCACTGACCTGTTTTTCTGAGCGGGAAGTCATCTTTGGTGTCATACATTCCCAGGACCGGATGGTTGTAGGACGTCGACACCCCGCTCTGGGGCGGGGAGCTCTGGTCCAGCGAGCTGTGCTGTGTTTTCCTGGAGAGAACAGGCAGACAGGTGGCCGAGTTAGCCAGGGCGTCACAGCAGCACCTGATCAGCTCTGGCCTCACGCAGCCTCGAGGCCAGACTCAGGGGACCAGCTGAGCACCGCCTCTGCTGTCAGACCCTGGTGCCAGGAGGGGTGGGGACCCGTGCAACGCCCCACCATCGTCCTGCTCCTCTCTGGGGGGCTCCTTGCACTGACTGCGCTCTGGTCACCCACCAGCTCACCACCAGTCACAGAAGGGCCCGTCCTCAGGGCAGACGGGGGGCTGTGTGTGCACAGAACCAAAGGTGGAGCTGGAGGTGGCCGAGATCTGGGGTCATGTTTGGAGCAGGTGCTGGTGAGGTCTGCAGTCCCCAAAGGGACGTCCTTTTGGCAGAAAATACCATCTTCGTCTGCACCTCGAGAGGAGCAAAACCCACCCTGCCGGCCCACTTCTCTGAAGACGATGGGTCCACAGTAGCCAACACCTTGTGGCTGGAAGCTGATCGATCTATGGAGTCTGCTGCCCCTAACGACTGGCCAGGCAGGACTCAGTCCCTAACTTGGGGAGACAGGATCGGGCTCCGGGAGGAGGTGCAGCGGGGCGGGAGGGGAGTCTGGGAGGGAGAGCGGTGCTGACGGCCCTTGGGAAGACCATCAGCGAAGTGTGGTTTTGGTGGGACGGGCGGCTGAGCCCTGCTGGAAGCAGCCACACAAGGCATAATGAATTCCGTGGTGTCCTTAAACTGTGTAATCTACTTAATGACTTGAAACAATTTGCCAGCTTACTTATTTGGCATTTGTTACACTGTTTATCTGAATCCACAGCACTCCACATCCACGCACCTGGTGTTATCTGAATTGAGAATGTGAGCTCTTAAATGCCTACAGGTGGGTATTTAAATATCTGAGAGCAGAACAGACCATGCAGAGAATGTGTTGCTCACAGAGCCCCGTCCGGGGAGCGTGGCCCCGATGTGGGGGCCGTGGGGCCCAGCCGGGCTGCATGGCAGCGAGGTGCTCAGAGAGCCCTGGCCACGGCCCGCCAGGCGCCCGCCAGCAGAGAGCACGCAGCTCCATCCTCAGGACGCCTTTGCGTGCCCAGGCAGGTCCACCCACACGCCGGTACGGCCAGCGGGGTGGCTGCCTCGGGCGGGAAGGCCTCCCCTCGGGGCTGTCTCTCAGCGTCTCCCTAAGGGTCTAAGGGCAGCGCCGTCTCTCTACCGAGTCCCATCTCCAGAGGGGCCCTCGGCTAGCTCCCGGCTGCTCAGGGCCACGTAAAAACATGGGAAAGAACTCGCCTTCTCTTTTGTGAGAAATGCGGGAGGCCCTGTGTATGCCTGACGGGACAGGAAGGTAGAAGTGAAACTAATCGAGAGAATATTACTGTAAGTTATATCTAGTGTTGTCCGACTTTAGCCGTAGACTGTTTACAATTAGGCCACAAGCCAGAAGTGCCATGTTTAACATCTAGTAGATTTCTCTTTGGCTTTGCTGTCTCGAGATGCTATCAACATTAAGCCCCCTCCCCGGTTCCCAGTCCGGCCTTCGGAGGATCCATGACAGGAGGAGGGCACGAAGGCACAAGCTCCTGGGGAGGGTCCGGACACAGGCTGCCATGGTGCCACCGCTGGGGCCGCCCAGCGACCAAAGGAGCGATTCCCAGCAGCACAGCCTTGCTCCTCGCACCTGCGGCCCCGGGGTGCTCGCCGCATAGGCCCATGAGCCTTCCAGGGAAAACCCGCCTGGGGGTCGCACGTGTGCGCGCTCCGGGCCTGGGTTCTGGAGGGTGAGCCAAAGTCGAGTCCTGTCCCTGGCTGCACGCACACTGCAGTGACACGCTCTCACTCACTGCCCCCCCACCACTGATGCGCTCTCACTCACATTTGTGCTAATTATCGTGGGTGGAGCCAAACTAGGGTCAGAGTTCAACTCTCTCTCTAGGAACACCCAGTCTTCACCACCACAGTCACTCCATGATGTCAGGTTGAGAGTGACAAAACAAGACAGCAGCCAAGTTCATTGCAAACAGATCTGTCCCCTGGCGACGTCCCTGAGACCACAATCTTCCCCACCCCAGCCTGTGCGCCCCAAATCCCTCTGGGGGAGCTGAGCCGCTAGCCTCCTTGGGTTGGGGCCCTACCTCGGGGAGCCCTGCTCAGCAGGGAGCGGTCCCTGTCAATCCCTCCTGGGACCCTCACCTGCCCTCGGCCCTTCCCTCAAGTGCAAGCTCCCTCCTCAGTGCTTCGTTTCTGTTTCTGCCAGGACCACCCCTCGCCTGCAGCTTCCAGGATGGGATGTGTCGTGCTCTCTCATGGCACGGGCTCTGTCGTGTCACATGTGAACCCGTCACCTCCCACCCCATCTCCCCAACCCAGGCTCCCCCGCACTCACATGAGCACCTGGCACCGGCCACCCTGATCTTCCCCCACCACTGCGGCCACCATGCGAGAACTCTGACGTGGCCAACCCACGACTCTTGCTTGCTACCACGTGAGCTCCTCCAAGCTCACGCTCTTCTGCCCCTGGTCAGCATTATGTCCCTGGAACCTGGCGCTTCCCGGCCTGCTGAGCATGGCCGCTAAGCGCTGCATCGCCGCTGAGTCTCCCTCCCACCAGCAGGTCTAAGAGCCCTGCGCTCGAGCCGCCTCCATGGGCCTGTGGTCCCGGGTTCCCCCAGGGCCTCCCAGCGTGAGGCCCCGGCCCTGCTCTCCTTCCTGCCGTCTTCAGTGAGACCTCACGGATAGCACTTCAACTGCTTTCCTTGGGGCGTCGGCACGGCAGCCCCCGAACCCAGTGGAGGGTCTTCATCATCCCCACAAGTACCCAGTCGTGGGGCCCCCAGGGGCTGCTACCAGCATCTCTGAGGAATCCTCTGCGTGGTGGCTCGGGGGCTCACGGCAGCGCCCGCAGCTCTTCGGGGACACTGTTGCCTTTGCTCGTCTGTGAGCGTCGTGTCCCTGGCTGAGCTGCGCGTACACCAGCAGTGTGTTTCGGTGTGAGTGCAGTGCCAGGGACTGAGCTGCGAGCGGCGGCTGCACGCGCACACAGGAATCAAAGCACTGGGGCCCCTGCCAGGCCCGCGGGACCGTCTCGGCGGGATGCGCTGGGGCTTCACTTAGTACAAACAGCGGTCTGTCTGGGAGCTTCAAAATAAATAGTTTTCCCCCAATGAAATGAAAGATGATCATATTTTGACTTATGAAAACTACCTAATGGGTTTGGTGTGAGAAATGAACTCACCCTTGAAAACAGGAGAAAACCAGATTTCAAAGCAAAAACCTGCGAAGCATCCCTGATCGTTGTTTAAGGGTCGCAGAAACTCGCCCCTCCACGCCAAACGTGGCCTGCGCCTTGGCCACCTGTGCAGTGGGCTGGTGCTCAGGGGCCATCCCTCTGCACGCGGGCATCATCGCAGACTTCTCTGCCACGGCACACCAGCCTCAGCAGCTGATGGCACGAGCGAGGCTCTCCTGTGGCCTCTGCCAACCACGCGGGCTCCGGGAAACGGCTCCTCACGAAAGCATGAAAACCAGCAGAGGCGCCACGGGCCTGCCTAGCGGGCAGTGAAACACTGGGTAGAAGTCCAGTGGGAGCATCCAGACGGTTTAGACCCCAGTGCCAGTTCTTTTGTTTGTTTTTAAAGAGAGAGAGACAGACAGCGTGAGCAGGGGAGGGTCAGAGAGAGAGGGAGTCACAGACTGAAACAGGCTCCAGGCTCTGAGCTGGCAGTCAGCACAGAGCCCGACGCGGGGCTCGAACCCACGAACCGCGAGATCATGACCTGAGCGAAAGTCGGCCAATTAACCGCCTGAGCCACCCAGGCGCCCCGACCCCAGTGCCAGTTTAAGTGGTTCCTTCTGTGGCCAAAGTAGACGGGGAGGCCAGGCCCCCGCCTCGCCGCGTCACCGACACGGGCCCTCCCTGGGGTGCCGCGCACCTGCCACTACCGCTTGGAGGGCCCGCGCGCCCCCGCCGCCCCCGCCTCCCAGCGCGAGGGTCGGGCGCCCAGGCCTGGGGACGCGCCGGCCCGGGGCGGGGGGGGGGGTGGGGGTGGGACCGCGCGCACACTTACCCGTACCAGTAGCGAGGGTCGCTGGAGATGCAGTGGTTCAGGTTCCGGTGCGCCAGCGCCTTCTTCTTATTGAGGACGAACTCCTGCAGCTTCATCTTCACTTCCGTGCTGGCCACCGCGCCTGCGCGGGGAAAGCACACACCGGTGACCGGCGGCCGGGGCGCGGGGCAGACGCTCGGAGTCGGGCAGCGACCGGAAACCCGACGCTGCTGGGGCCGAGAAGGCTCCTCGGAGGGGGGAGGGCGGGACAAGGGTTAACAGGCCCGCTGGGGCACCGTCGCCCTGGGAAGTCGGCGCGGCGGCTTCGCGCCTGCTACCGCCCAGGCCGCAGAGCCTCCCGGGCGGTGTGCACGCGCACGCACCGCCGCCAGCAGGAGGGGGGCGCGCACGCACCGCGCATGCTCGCTGGGCAGCCTCGCGTCGGAGGGAAGCTTCCCCCTCGGCCGCTCGCCTCAGCCGCTCTCCCGGGGCTCGTCTCGGCGCCGCGCCTCGCGGGGTTCTCGGGAGAACACGGTCACCGGGCGGTTTGACAAACAGACGCGCGCACGGAGAAAAGTCCAGAGGCCGCCCCCACCTTCCCACGAGCCTGTCCCGTGCGGACGTTCCCGGCGCCACGCGCGGGCCGCACAGCGCTCTCCGCACCATCCTTCCGCCTGTAATAGGTAACGTTTCCTGCTCGCGTCAAGGGTCCAAGCAGTGCTATTATAATAGGAACACTTACTTATGTGAGGGGACGGAAGAGGGAGTGGGAGCGGGTAGAGGGGGGGAGAGTTTTAAGCAGGCTCCGGCTCCGCCCGGGGCGCCATCCGAGACACCACGAGGCCTTGACCCGAGTCGAAATCGAGAGACACTTAACCGACTGAGCCGCCCAGGAGCCCCTCAGAGCACCTTCTAATTGCTTTCCACAACGCCTTCATACACTGACCGCCAGCTGCCACCTTGGCCATGCACCAGAGGTGGGCACCTGGTATCTTCAGGAGCACCCGGGATCACCAGTGACCCTGTCCTTGTCATCAGCACCCGGGATCACCAGTGACCCTGTCCTTGTCATCAGTACCTGGGATCACCAGTGACTCATAGGGGTGCCTCTGCCCCCAGTTCCTGGCACTGAGCTCCTAAACCCCTTGTAAACTCCAAAGTGAGTTACTCCAGGGCACTGGGCATCTCTTGTTCTAACGCGGGGACTCTGGCTGGACTCTGGACGGCTCCTGGAGGGGCCGGTCACCCAAAGACCAAGCCATGATCAGAAGCTTGGAATCTTCAGCCTCATCAGAGAGCGGGTAGAGGGGGTGCAGACAGTTAAGAATTGCTCATAAGGAAGCCTCCATTAAGTCCCAAGAGTGTGGGGTTCAGACAACCTCCACATTGGCAAGCAAGCACGTACTGAGAGGGAGACGCACTCCAAGTCCACAGGGACAGAATCTCCTGCAGGAGGGGCCGCGGGGACCTCTGAGGACCTACAGTGACTGGCCAGATGCACGGGTGACACCCTGGATCGGCAACTGGCGTCTGCTGGGGGGGAGGGACTCGCAGGACAGAGCCCTCAGGTGAGCAGTGTCCAAACAGACGGACTGCAGGACACGCAGGGGTGACGGAGCGCCGCATCGCAGTCAGTCTCGCTCGTGTCGTGTTCCGGGTCCGTGCGGGTCGACGTAAAGGATGGATGCAGGAGAAAAGAACTGGGTTTCGATATTCAAATACTTGTTTTCATGTAATCTGCTCTAGTTTTTCCATCGCTTTGAAATTTCCCGGGAGTTTTGACATTGATCTTCCTTTCACTGGTTTGGTAAATGATGAGTTTTATTTTATCCTTGTTCTCCTGGTGTTGGGCTTTCATTCCCTTACGTGCTTGCTGTTGTTATGCGTTCACGGTTCTCTCTGACGCATATGAAATGTGACTCTGTGGATACTTGACAAATTGCTCATGAATTGTTAATATCATTAGAGAAACCGTCTTTCTTGCCACTGTTCTCGTCCACAACCTGAATTCTGTCTGGCTGTAGGTGTGTCCATGTTCTCCAGGGCAGTGTCCCCCTGCAGTTAGGTCGCAGTGGCCTTGAGTGTGTCGTGGATGACAGTGAGCACAGACCCCTTGGGGACAGGGTCTGAGTTAGATCACCCAAGGGAAACACAAAGTTCACTAAACCGAACCCAGGGTACCTTCAGAAGCTCCCATCAGGACGCATGGGCCTTCCCAGGCTCTGGGGAAGTGACCCCACGGGCACACGAGAAGCCTGCCAGAGCTCTATATGTGCCATGTGCCAGCCACTGGGCACAGTGTCCCTGCGACACTCGTGAGGAGGGCACTCACGGTAACAGGCCGGGCCGTGGGGGGCTGACCAAAGGCACAGAGTCACACCTGCTTCTGATCAGCACTGCTCGGTCCCCTGAAATGTATACAGTGTCAGAGTGAACACACATTCTGAACATGCAAAGCCTGTGTTTTCCTGTCTGCAAGTGCACTCGTCAGAAAATCGCACGTGCACACACACCCAGAGACCTGCTTACAACGTGCCCAGATACACAGTCACGTGGCGCTCCTAACAGCGTATCAGCACCAGGTGGGTGGCAGAACACACGCCACGGGCTAACCGTGTCCGTACCCAGCGTGCCTTACAACCAGGAGCAAGATGGAGGAGCAGAGGGCACAGAGGGCCGCTGACAAAGGGGGATGAGAATTGGCTAATAAATGTGTGAGGAGGTGTAACCACAGTGAGGTGAAGAGCTGTGGTTGTTCCCTCTCGGTGCTGCCGGCCACACAGGGGAGGATCAGACCACCTGATGAGGAGATAGAGGAGGAGCAGGAAGACCCAGATGGAAGAGAAAAGATGGCCCTCCCAGTCCTTCAAAACTGTGGTTCCAGAGGAGTGGACAGTGCGCAGCAGACAAGCAGCAGAGACTCTTGGCGGGCAGGGTTCCCAGCAAACCCAAACTGCGTGGTAGCCGGCCATATCTTCCCCTAAAGCACTTGCCAGTGTGGCTCCACTTGCCCTCCACGGGGTGCGGATGCTTGTGACTCCCCTGCGGGCCCCCTAGGGACAGCCTGGCCCCGAGGACCACATTAGGGGGCCTCTGACTCTCCCTGCTTCGGCCACAGCCCTGGCTGACGTCATGGGCTCTAGAAATTCAAAGGGCAAAGAACAGACACCTCACCCAGCAGGGAGTGCGTGAGATAAATCCCAGTGACAGGCAAGCGCAGCAGGATGTGATGAAGGGCAGCCGCCCCACCCGGAGGACCCCGTGGCCCTGTCACTGGCCGGGGCTGTGGCACCTGCGAGATACTGGCCGGGCCCTGTGCCCTGAGCTGCCTGCTGTGCAGACATAGGTCTGCAGGACTGACGTGGGCTCCCTCGGGCAGCTCAGGCTGGGACAGGACATCTTACTGGGGTCTCGTGGAACTCAATCAAGACAAGTCCACGTATGACATAAATAAACCACACGAACGCCACAGCACCTCCCTGGCCCGTTGGGCTGAGTCCAGTGTATAAGAGGGGTCATATGGTGACGTGGTCAGAAGGGCGGACCCTACCTGGCCCCTCCCAGCCCACCTGCAGCTGGAGGCTGATGTACCAGGCCCTTCGGGCACAACTCACACCCACGCACTCACACAGGGCCTGCAGCAAACCCACGGAACGCCAGGCCACAGATGTGCGACTCCGTGCCATGGAGGGACCTTCTTCTCTTCTTGGCACTTTATACGGAGAGAATTGCAAAAGGAGCCGTCGTCCTTCCAGACTGGCTTGTCGCAACAGATTCCGCCACCTTGTTTTTTTATCCTGCAGGTTGTTTGTTCTGGTCACGTATGTTGGGATCTTTGCATTCTAACTGTATCCTCAATTCCAACCCAACACGCATGACAAAACACTTCATTTGACACTTATAAAATGCTTACTGAGTAAAACTTTTTCTCTTTTTAAAAAAAAATTTTATTCTAGTTAGTGTGCATGGTGTTATATATATAGTTTCAGGTGTACAATATAGTGATGCCACACTTACACTTCCATATGTCACTCTCTGCTCATCCAGATTCCTCTATTTATTTACTTATGTATTTAATTTGAGAGAGAGAGAGAGCACAAGTGGGGAGAGGGGCAGAGAGAGAGAGAGAGAGAGAGAGAGAGAGAGAGAGAATCCCAAGCAGGCTTCGCACTCGGCGTGGAGCCCAACACAGGGCTCAATCCCATGACCCTGGGATCATGACCGAAATCAAGAGTCAGATGCTCAACTGACTGAGCCACCCAGGCGCCCCTAGATTCCTCCACTTTAAATCAAAGCTATAGAATCAATAAAACATATTCAATAAACGAATATCAAATGTCTAATTTTTCCTTAAAAAAATTAATTCATGTTGGGTACCCCGCATTTATTACACAGGGTTTACAGACTTAACTGTGCCCCAGGGTATGATCTGGCCAATGGGGATAATGATGTAAATAAAAGAGAAGAAGTCCCCTCCCCTCAGGGGAAGGGATCTAAGGACCAGGCGCCTCTGGACACAACCCCTCAAGGGTTTTCCATGTGATTCCTGCCTGGGATTTACTCACTCTTCTCATGCCCCACTGGACTCTGAGGAAGTTACACTTCACAGATGGGATAGAGAATTACCTTCTGGGTCAGGTTTTTTGTTTCTTTCTTTTAAAACAACATGAATGACTTTCCTCAAATCCTCAAATGATGGCACCTTTCTCCACTCGGGCTGTGCTTGTAAATCACAGGGAAAAGAAATGTACCTGTATTCGCCCCAGACTGCTCCGAGAACAAAGACTTGCCTTCCATTGGATTCCCCCTTTGAATTTGTGTTACAAGACATTATGTCTTAGAGTCTTAATCTAAGTGAAACTTCCCGGACTACCGATCATGTGTTCATGCTGAACAAGATGAAAACTGCCACAAATTCCAGGAATGCACTGTTCCTTAGAGCTGACAGCATTGACTGGTATCAAGAAGTAAAAGAAAACTGCAGAATTATTTAAAATTCAAAGTATGGTAAATGTTTACAAATGTAACAAAACTTTAATTAAATATTCAATAGGAAATTCGCTTTTACAAAAACCCCAAGAAACTAAACAGATGCCCTGCAAGGCATTTTCAAATGCTTACAAACGGGAGACGCCCCAGGCCATTTGCATTTCCCCACAAACGCCCTTTAAGCTGGTGGGAACAAGGCTCTCCTTCATAGGTGTGGGCCGCCAGCGCCCACTCACGTAGGAGCTCTGAGCGGCATCCACCCCAGCAGCCTGCAAGACCTGCCTTCTCACAAGACCACACTCAGGGCTGCAGAGCCTACACGAGCGTGCCAAATACCCAAACTGTACACAGTTTATTATTAATAATAAAACCTGACCACCCAAATCCACGGATTGAAAACCACCACGGCTGCTGTGAGTGCGAGCTAGGAGGGAGGCAGAGAACATTCCAAAGCTCCAGCTGGGGAGGGGAGGGAGGTTTAGTAGGTAGAGAAGAAATTGTTTTTGACTTGTAAACAGATCTAAAATGTTTTCTGAAGACAAATCTTTTTGCATTTTGTGAAGCTTCAGATGGTATTTTTATTGGAAGATTCTGGTAAACTACGAGGAACTAATTGCGCTGCTTTTTAGCAATCTGAGAACCTGGTGTTCGTTGGTTAGTTGAGGCACACATCAACTAGCTGAGGCTTACAGTGTTAACATCCATCCTTTGATAAACAACGATTACCCTACTCGAAAGCAAAACACGTAAGTAGGCTATGCAACTGAGGCCAAAGTGAAGCCTGCGAGAGGACAAAGGAGCAGGCCCCAAGGCAGAGGCCACGGTGTGTGTGCGGCCCCACGGAGCACACCTGGGCTCTGGGCCCCCAGGAGAAGCCCAATCACAGGGCTCCTATGAGGGCCAGGTGCCGTCATGTAGGGGGACAGCTCTCCAGAATAGAGGGCAGCCCCCAACGGCAGGCCATGGAGCCCCTATGCTAGCAAGAGGACTCACCTAGACTCACAGTCCACAACCCTGGCTGCAGTGAGAATCCAGGGAGGTCTAGAAATATCAGTGCTGACACCCACGCTCTGCTCCAGACCAGTGCGTCAGGACATCTGGGGCATTTTCCTGACCCCACATGCCACACCACTCAAAGGTGGTCAGTGTCCTGGCCACACCGCACCCACGAGGGACCCTGGACACAAAGGAGTCCACATACACAATACAGGCAGTGGTTGGGCTGGTGTGGAGGTGTGGATGGATAGAGGACCGTGTCACTGAGCCAGTGGGCTGGGCAGTGACCCATGCGCGCAGCCACCTCGCCTGCCCCATCGGTCCACCGCAGACACAAGTCTGCCCTCAAAGACCAAGGGTGTATATTGCCAACCCACATCTGCAATTTATCTTCTCCAGATGGCCTTCTGTCCTCATGCCTGGAGTCTTGACTACGGACCATTGTGGAGGCCATAAGCCAGCATCTTACCCAAACGGTGTGATGAAACATGGTGCACCATGCAGATTTAGGAATTACTTTCAAATATTGGTACAAAAATTAGATTTGACACACAGGAAAAACTCTTCAGATATTCTTTCTATATCAAAATGCAGCCAGACTATTATAATAAAAAGACATTTAAAGTATATGATTTTAAGAGCAAAATATGCTGTTAGTAACTAAAGATTATAAAAGTTGTTACTTTTATGTATAAAACCAGTTACTAACAACTTGCAAATAGGTAAGTGGAAAGACAAACTGAATATGAAAACAATACACTAGCTGCATATTTTAGGAAAAAACCAACAGCCTTTTGGAAAGACAATATTTATAAAAACGTACACAGAACACAGGTGGGAACATGTTCTGAACCCAGTCTGGAGAAGACCGATCAGGCCGCCGAAGCAGCAGGAGCCTATGCTGTTTAAAAGCCACCATGAGGCAGAGCAGACGGAGCCGAGCACAGGAAGGTGTGTGGGAAACGTAACATTGACAGAGAGCTTGGTGCGGCAACGTCAACAGAACTACCCGAGTTGAGGAAAAGGGCGAGAAGCCACCACAAAAATGAGAAAGATATTTGAACAGGCACTTCGCCCAGGAAAGGAATATCCCTGTGACAGGAGTCCTGAAAATGCACTGAGTCTCACCAGTGATCAAAGTGTGCATCTGAGGCCACAGGAGCGACTGCTCTCATCCAGACTTGGCGTGGCTGATGGCAACCAGGGTTGGTGGGGAAGCGGACGCGGGAGCCGCCGTACTCGGCTGAGGGAGGCCAGGCCTCAAGCAGGAAAGGGGGGGCACATGCATGCCTCACACCTGCCCGTCCGCACCAGGAGACACATCCAGGGACAAACACCCAGATACCTACCAAACACGGGTTGGATGAATACGGTGGGGTGTCTGTGAGTGGGCACAGGCAGCAGGCTGAATTAGTGATCTCCTAATTAGTGTCTCCACACAGGGCAGTGAGGACACACTCCACAAGTGTGATGGTGAGTGAGTGAGTGACAACAGCAAACCACAAAATCCTACATATCCATGAGTCCATCTACATCAACTTCAAAAGCAGGCAAAACTGCCCTCCATGTTAGGTGCCAGGGAGGAGTTACTCTGCAGAGGAGGGAAGGGCCCGGATGTGGTTCCGTCCTGATCCGGGTGCTCTACTGGGAGGTGAGCCTGGGAACAGGGTGTGTGCCTTTTCTGTACATATATCGCACACCAAACAAAAGATTCTTCTGTAATTTTAAATTACGGTCTTCAGGAGAATGCTTTAATGCATCTCATGCTGTCGTGCATAGGTAGATTCAAGTCCACAGGATGGGCTGTTACAATGGTTTGTCCGGATGGCCAAGCATTTTCAGTAGCTGAAGACACTGGTTTTGTTTTTTGTTTTTGTTTTTTGTTTTTTTAATGTTTTTATTTATTTCTGAGAGAGAGACAGCATGAGCCGGGGAGGGTCAGAAAGAGAGGGAGACACAGAATCCAAAGCAGGCTCCAGGCTCCATCCGAGCTGTCAGCACAGAGCCCGACACCGGGCCTGAACACATGAACCATGAGATCATGACCTGAGCCAAAGTCAGACGCTTAACCGACTGAGCCTCCCAGGTGCCCCAAGACAGTGGTTTTGTGAGGCTTATGTGTGTGAGTGAAGTGTGTAAAGACTAGTATTTTTACTCACGAGCACTGGAAGGTTCAATCACCCTACAGTCACCACACCGAAACCTGATACAGGAGAGAAATGCACATCTTGCCTACATCATCACCAGGGAGCAAACAGGTTTGGCTGAGCTGATGTCTCATGTGAAAACTAACTGAGCCTGTGAATGTGTCACCCACTATCTCTGCTTTCTAGGTCCTGGGTGTGTCCCTGGAAACAAGTTGCCAAAAGAATATAGGGGGCCCAGATGCACGCAAGGGACATGTGCCTTCAGCCACAATCCTGTGTGCGGGACACACCAGGCCTCACACACACTCACGTGTCCCTCACTGCACCCGCCAGACGTGCTCTCTGCCCCTCAGCTGCGGGGGAGTGTGGCTCCTCCCCGACGGATGTGGGGAAAGACCCCCTAATCTTCCAAAGGGGGACCAGCACGCAGAGTCACCTCCAGGCTAGGATCAAGCCTGGGTCTGTCCTGGAAGGTAACACTGGTCCTCAGACATACGAGCACAGATGCAAACGTCAAGAGAGCAGATGTCAGCCACTGCGTCCCCGCTTGGCCCCTGGCTGAGCCCACAGGCTGGGCCTGGCTCTAAGGCGCTCCCAAAATGCTCCTAGAAGGAAGGAACTTTGAACCACTTAGGACTGAACTTGGGACTCACAGGGCAGAGCCACTGCCAACCTGACACGTGTGCTTCAGGATGCACTCGTCAGCCCGCACGCGGTGGCTCCCGGCCGGGGCGCGGCTGCCGTGGGAACCGCCGCCTCAGGAGCGCCCCCCCCTCCCCCCCCAGCACACTTACTCTCCTTGCCTTTCTCCTTGTTCTTGAGCTGCTGCAGCTTCTGCTCCCGGTGCTGCTTCTCCAGCTCCTGCTCCTGGCGGTGCCTCTCGAGCTTGCGCTGGTGCTCCAGCAGCTCCTGCTGGTGCTTCATGGCCAGCAGCTCCTGCTGTTGCTGCGGGCAGGGAAGGAGGACACAGAGACGGTCAGAGCCTCGCTGCCGGTCCGGGCAAGACACACACACACACACAAATCGGCAAAGGGCCACAGGTCCCGGCGCGGGTGCCGCCGGAAGCCCCGATGCCTGCTGACTTTCTAAGTGTTAAAAATGAAAATAACCCCCCATGAGCTGATAGAAGAGAAGAGAAACTTTGGGTGACGTCGCAAGCTGGGAATGGCACTTTGAGAACGGCACCGCGGAGGGTGACACGGCACAGCTGCCCTGGCTAACCGCTGGCGCTTCCTCACTGAGTCAGATGCGCATCTGTCCAGGACCCAGCCGCCCTGTCCCCGGACTCGCCGGAGCCCCGGAGACATGTCTGCACACAGGCCTGTGTGACAAGCACTTGGTGGCCTGCTCCCAAGGGCCCGGGCTGGACAAGCTCCGACAGCCCTCAGAGCCCAGCCCGCGGGCCAACTGTGTGCGCCCGTCGCTGAAGATCCATCTGGCAAGGATGCGGAGCCGACAGGCTGCCAACAAGCCAAGGGAGTGTGTAGGTGCCGACGGGCTTGGGGGGATAGGGCAACACCAGGCAACACCAGGGTGGGGGGAGGCCCACAGGGCTTGGTCCCTGGTGTCACCACCCAGGCCCCCGTGATGGGCCGGAGGGCCTGAGGGCAGGGGAGCAGGGAGGCCACCAGCTTTCCGCTCGACTGTCCCCTGAACCCAGGCAAAGTCATTAACAAGGAGACACACAGCCATCTCCGGGTGTGAGCGTGCGTGTGTGTGTGTGTGTGATGGAGCCACCCCTCTGTGGGCACCAGGGTGACCTCTGGCTGCCCCGAGGAGCAGACACTGTGTGTCCTGGGGCACGTAGGCTCCCACTCGTCCCTTCTTCAGAAACAGAGCTGGGCTCAAGCAGCCATGTCGGGGCTCCGTGCGTGCGGCACCTGCCAGCCCTGGGGGACCGGGAGGAGGGTCCAGGCTGCAGAGAAGACACAGAGAGCGGCACATAAATTAAGAAAACAGGATTTCAGATTGCTTAGGACCCTTTTCTACAAAGACGCAATAGGTCATCCGTCACATCTGTGACTTTTGTGAGGTTTAAATCACAGTATACCAGAAACATTAAAGAAAAAGAACATCATTACAGACATTTACAATGAAAACCCGCACGCCTCCCTGAACGAAGCCTACAGCCCAGGAGCGGGAGCGCTGTGCTGCTGGTGACAGGGACGTTCAGCAGAGCTTCAGAGCAGCCGGCAACAACGACTCACGAGCAAAGGAACAGACTGCCTATGGACACGTGGGGAACGCGCGTGCAGAAGCAGGTGCGGGATGCCAGGCCCGTGTGCCTGGCCCAGGGGACAAGGTGCCAGGCCACACCCTCCCACACAGTGCTGCCAGCCTCCATGAGACGTACCCCACGGCAGCCTTGCTGGGGAGAGCCCCACACTCTGAGCCAGGGCAGGGCTGTTGGAGGCTCTCCCTCTCTCTCCCTCTCCCTCTCTCACACACACACACACACACACACACACACACACAGTTAGAGGCTCCCCCCCCCCCCACACACACACGAGAGTCTCTAGGGATCAGCTGGCATTTCTCACTTCAGGGGACCCACAGCCCCTGTCTACAGTCGTGGCCACCTCCTACCTTCCACAGCCAGGAGCAGGGGACTGGAACAGCAGAGAGGTAGGTGGGCGGTGTGGCTGGGCCCTGAAGCAGGAGGGTGGAGGAGGGGGCGGGGCATCCAGACCCCACATGGCATGCCCTTCCCTGTTGCTCCTGGAAGGCTCTGGGGGAGGGGGGCAGCTGTGAGGGGAGGGCTGTGAGGGAGGGCCCCCGCTCAGCGCCCACCCATGGGGCCCACGGGCACCGAGGGTCACTTCGCAGAGCCTTCGTATGGAAAAAATTACATTCCAACCACCTTCCGTGAACGGGAGACCGTGAAACTATGAGAACTAAGCAAGCACCTTCCCAGCCCTTGCTGCCAGAGGACTTCTGGGGGACATCAGGTCAGGGGGCAGATGCCTGGCCTTGGACCTGGCCCCACCCGCTCCCGCTCTTCCGCACACACTAGGAAGGTCTTTCTGCTAGTGTAGCCTTGCTGACCCACCAAATTCGGATCCAAGGACCTGTGTGAGGGCCACACAGCTGTGTGCACAGGTGAACGCACTCCTGGGGCTGCAGCCACATCCCCGCCACAATCGTAAGCCAGCTGCGGTCGGGGAGGGGTCCCAGTGCCACTCAGGCCGGGAAACCAGCACGGTAGCACTGTGAGCGACAGATCTTAGAATCAAGGGGGCCCCCCTCTGCGTATCACCCCAGCCCCCAAGCTGCCCTGCGTACATCCCTGGGTTCCCTTTCAGCTGCTCCATATTCATTTAATGTGTTAATGAGGAACAGGCAGAAAGTCAATTGATAGAGTCTCAAAATATTTACTTTTTAGCCAGAACCCAGAAGGAGAGCAAGATCTTTCAATTATCATTAAAAAAGAAGGAAACCACCACAGATACTGGTAATTAAAATTCACAGGAAAACCCCAGAAAAACAGCACTGCCCCGGAGTTTTCAAGAGAGCAGCAATCAACAGACACACACTGGGTTCCCTACAGATGCCCCCCAGCAACACTGCAGGGTCTCCATGTCCCTTGGGTCCAGTCCAGAGGTGTTTGTTCTGCGTCATAGGTCGTGTGGAAGGCGGTGACGTGTGTGCAAAGGCCTCTCCGAAAAAGGCACTGAGAACAAAGCAGACAGGGACCCTCCCCACCCCCAGACTCCCCACACAGTTCAGGTCTGTCTCCAGATTGTTGGACAAAGTGACCCTCTGTGCTCCTAGCTTCTGGAAAATGAGGATGGTGGACACCGTGAGAAATGCCTACTTCATGTTCCTGCCTGGCTCCCCACTCCGCACGGCCACTCTGCACTTGTCACGGTCAGGCCCTACGGGGAGGCTCTGAGCCATCCCTCCCCGGGGAGGGAACAAATGTGCCGTAGGAACGCACGCAGCCTCTGGCTATGAAAAGTAGAACTTGGAGACACGCTGAGTTTTATGTTACATAAAATCCACACAATTATTGCCACTGGTACCTCACTAACATACGGAATGGTCATACTATTCTACGCGCGAAGGAGAGGTGTGGAAAAGGTGTTGTTTTATGCAGATTGAAACTATCCTGAGCAACTTAAAGTCAGATATCTACTACCTAATTTTTCTTAAAAAAAAATTTTTTTTTTTTATATAGTTTATTCTTGAGACAGAGAGAGACAGAGCGTGAGTGGGGCGGGGCAGAGAGAGAGGGAGACACAGAACCCGGAGCAGCTCCAGGCTCTGAGCTGCCAGCACAGAACCTGACACGGGGCTCCAACTCATGAATGTGAGATCATGACCTGAGCCGAAGTCGGACGCAAAGCCGGCTGAGCACCCCAGGTGCCCCTACCTAATTTTTCTAACGGAAAAACCCAGTAACAGATGCCATTACTCAATCCAGAGTTTAACACTGAATTTATGTTTAAGCCAATATTGAGTGCGGGGTAAAATATTAGCTCTCCAGGGTTCAGTTTCTTTGGAGTTTAATCAGCAACACTGATATGGAAACCCAAGAGCTACACTGAAGGACAGAAGTGGGTAAGGCACTCACACACCATGCCTGCCAAGGGGAGGATGCTCCCCGGGCCCCAGTGAGCGAGCTCCCGACCTGCTCAGAGCGCCCGTCTCCAGCCCAGGTCACAGGCGGCGGCAGCCAGGCTCCATTGAAGTACATTTTACACCCCCATGTCATTAACACGGGGGCTGCTCACAGCGCGGCTCAAACACCAATCTCGCTGGCCCAGCGTTCTGGAAAATACTTAATGCCGAGGCCACCGCGCCGTCTGAGTGGCCAAGATCCCTGGGGCCTGAAGTGCCCCGTGCCATGTGCTTGCCAGTGGCCACATGTGCGCCCGTGCGTCTCCAGGAACTCAGCCCGCTCAGGAGCCCACGCACACCAGGACCCTGCAGGGGCTGGGTGCCCCAAGAATGAACAGTGGGCTTGTTTTTGAAGTCGAGGGTGGCTTCCTGATTTTAAACGTACTGTGGACTCACGCAGCAAATGTGGAAACACGAACAGTAAGGAAACTGCACCCCCCCTCCCCCCAGAAGATACGGGCTGGATGTCCTGGGAGCCCTTCAGGTCCGTCACAGGATGAAATCGTGGCTTCAAACAAAAACCAACCAACCAGCCAACCGGCCAGGAGCATCTTCCTGTCTTCCTGATGTTAAATGACCTCAACAGAAATACTCTTAAATTGGACTTTTATTAGCCACTAAGGGTCCAACGTGTTTTGTGCCAGGTGGCCCCCCCCCCAGTACGCTAGGCCCGCGGTGAGGGGGGACATGTGGGGACCCACCTGCCAGCCTCAGCTCGACGTCTGCTGCCAGGGCTCATTTCATGGCGCTCAGCGCTGCCCCCGAGCACAGGCGACGGCCACCTCCCCTTCCGTTTCTCTTTCTCCTCTGCCTGCGGCCCAGGCTGGTGACATGCCATTCCCAAACACAGGACAACCGGGCCAGGAGGAAAGGAAGGGAGAGGCGACCGGGCCCCACAGATGGAGGGCTGGTGCCCAGGGCAGGGACGCGAGCTGCACGTCCACATGGAGCACACGAGGCTGCTCTGCTCCCTGAGAGAGCTCCTGGGACCTGCTTCTCAGACAGAAGGCGACAGGGAGGGTGTAGGCCTGCATGTGTCTCTCCCCAGCGCCCCCTGCAGGGAGCCTGACTGTCCCCAAGGCCTGGTACTGCCAGCATTAACCAGGACACACAGACACACTGCCCTTGCCACCTGCTTCCCAGTATACCTTTGAAAAGGCTAAACTGAAATTAAAATAAAAGACAGACCCTAAGTGCACCCTTCAGCACTGTAAAAGCCTGGCATAGTCAGTGCCACAGAAGGGCCTGGTGCGAATGCCAGACCACGAGGCAACTTCCATCTAGAACCAGAACTGGGCCCGGCATGAATGCTAGATGGCAAGGCG